TAGTTTGATGTATCACATGCAACTGTTATTCTAACTTGGGCCAAACTTAGCACATAAGTATTCAAAGATATTTTCTTTTATTGCGCGCGCGCGCGGACATTTAAGCCTTTGGGGTTGAATTTTTTTAGCGCATATTTGTTTCAAGAGTGTCAGGAAAAATTTTCAAGTGCAATTAATGAAGTTAACATGGATTTACTGTCAAAAAAGTCGTATTTTTTCTCAAAAAGCGCGCGCGCGCGCGCACTTTTGCTCAGATTCCTTCAAAACCAAAAAATGCACATAATATACATAATTCTGAGTTTGCATGCAAAAAATCAGCCTCCTACGACAATTCTAAGTTATGTTTAACCACTGTTTAAATTTTCCGGAGAGTAATACGTTTTGTGCCCCCCCCCCCCTTAAGTCAATTTTTTATCGATTATTAAATTTAGAATCTAACAATTCAGAGGAAATTAGTTCCAAACGCGATTTGGCCCATCACTTAATATTAGAAATAGGCCATTTTCCCGTTTTGGAACAAATATCCCCGGCAATTCTACGCCCACTAAGGACAAGAAGAAACTAATTTTAAGTGACAATTTTTGCTGCAAAAGGGATGAGGGTTCATAATACTTTTCTACCTGATGATCCATAGAAATAACCGGTTTCTTCCCTAACAATAGCAAACTCTCTACAGCATCTGAGTTAGAGATCGGGGTAGAGGCCGACCTCCTAAACACAGGGTTGTTTATTTTCCTGTAAAATCTTCCCCCCCTTCCTTTTGAAAATAATTTTTTCCCCTAGAAAGGCATGTTTTTTGGGTAGAAAGTATGAAAAAGCCAAAATCATTTGTTTAGTCCTTTGAGGGGAAATGATTTTCAAAAATGTAAGGTGATGTGTGGGACACCCTCAATGCCTCATGTTTCAAATGTAACATAAAGGGTTACCCCCAAAGTAAAAGACTGTAAAGACGACTGGAAACTCGTAAAATATGACAATCCCAAGTTCTAATTTAGTCTTATGCCTTACATATAGTCTTTTAATGGTTTGCAGAGAACCATGAATTGACAGAAAAAGTATAAATTCACTACAGTCGTCTCTGAAGTCTCCTTCTTAGATGGTAACCGTGCATATATAAATATGATCTAGTATCTATATATATTCACTGCAGGGGTGTATATAATTCCCATTTTTTATTATTCCCCCCCTCAATTTTTTTTGAGTACCTTCCCAAAATGTGAAAAGCGAAAAATACATAATTTTTAATATTTATATTGCAGTGCATACTAATCCCTAAAATCATGCATTTTAAAAAGCATAAACGCGCCGCAGGTAAATTTTTTTTTAAATTTTGACAAAAAAAGTCTGGATTAATTGTCAGTCAAAATTTTGATTGGAGAACTTGGGAGAGCTACGGGAAGGTTTTTAGTTTGGTTTCAAGATGTGCAAGTTGAGTGGAAAAATAGCTAAATTCGTAGTTTACGACCAAGTGCGGGTAAACGGCGCGGCGTGAGTAACTATGAGTAACCTGGGCAACGCTGGGTTCCCAAGATAAGTGGAAAATAAAACTTTACCTAGCAAGAGGAATTCCGTTCATTGAGAAGAGTGGTCCCGAGGATTCATGGAAGTCCATCTAGAGAATCAATTTTACCTTATTCATTGATTGAAGGTCAAAACTAATAATTCAGAGTCTGTAGTTAATTTAGTAGTACATTACGTCCTCCAATTTGTAAATGACGTGGGGGGGAGTGTCCAAACATTATTTTCTTGTAAATTACCCAGATCCGTATACGATTTTTGGACCCCCTCCCCCCTTCTGTCAATTTTGTACATGACCACTAATTTTAAGTTATTTTGTATCATTTTAGAGTTATGTTGGACCGAGCGCTGCGGACTAGGGGGCCGGGCTATGAGGCCACATGAATAATTTTATCCATGTGTTACATATGAGATCCATGGTACAAAATTGAAAGGAGAGGGGAGGGGGGGTCCAGAAATCGTTTACTAGGAAATAACCAAATTACCATAAGAGTTAATTTGGCAGTATACTAATCCAGTGGTGGAAATAGGGGGGTTATAGAGGTTATTTCCCCCCCCCCCCAGAATCCTCGGGCTAATTATCCCCCCCCCAAACTTGAATCTTAATGTTGATTTTAAAATTTAAAAAAGGTTGATTTTAAAAATTGAATATCTTTAAAATTTACAAAATAATTGAATATTAAGATATTTCAGATTTTAAGTCAACATATTCTAAATGATGATCATTATAGATGTCCAAAAATCGGTGCTATGGAAACGTCTCAACACAGAAATGCTTCAAAAAAAGCGGAAACCCATAAAAAACCGGTTTTTATGAGGCCTTTCCTCAATTTCTGCAAGAAAAACGGAAATCCCTCACAAACCCGTTTTTTTTTTAACTTTTAAAACTTTATTTTGTTTAGGCGTTTACTCTTTTTTTTGAGGCGTTTCCGGGTTTTTTTTGAAGCATTTCCGTTTTTTGAAAAAAACTTTTAAAACTTTATTTTGTTAAGGCATTTCCTCTTTTTATTGAGGCGTTTCCGTTTTTTTAAAAACTTTTTAAAACTTTATTTTGTTGAGGCGTTTCCTCTTTTTTTGAGGCGTTTCCGATTATTTTTGAGGCATTTCCGTTTTTTGAAAAAAAGAAACTTAAAACTTCATTTAGTTGAGGTGTTTCCTTTTTTTTGGGGCGTTTCCGTAAAATTTTTGAGGCGTTACAGTATGTTTTAAAACTTCATTTATTGAGGCGTTTCCGCAAAATGTTTTAGTGGTTTCCGTATTTTTATAAACTTCATTTAGTTGAGGTTTTTCCTATTTTTTTTTTGAGGCGTTTCCGCAAAATATTTGAGGTTTTTCCGTATTTTTAAAAACTTCATTTAGTTGAGCTGTTAGCTCTTTTTATTTTGACGAGTTTTTGTTTAAAAATAAAGTTTAAAAAGTTTTTTTTTAAAAGCGGAAGCGCCTCAAAAAAAGAGGAAATGCCTCATCTAAATAAAGTTTAAAAACTTTTTTCAAAAACGGAAACACCTCAGAAAAAAGAGGAAACGTCTCAACAAAATAAAGTTTTAAGTTTTTTCAAAAAACGGAAAAGCCTCATAAAAATGGAAACGCCTCTAAAAAAGAGGAAATGCCTCAACAAAATAAAGTTTAAAATTTTTTTTCAAAAAACGGAAACGCCTCAAAAAAAACGGAAACGCCTCAAAAAAAGAGGAAATATTTCAACAAATTAAAGTTTTAAAAGTTTTTTTCAAAAAACGGAAACAACTCAACAAAATAAAGTTTAAAAACTTTTTACAAAAACGGAAACGCCTCAATAAAACGGAAGCGCCTCAAAAAAAAAGAGGAAACACCTCAACTTTAAATATTAGGAAACGCCTCAAAAATATTCGGAAATCCCTCAACATTTTCCAGTTTTGAGGGATTTCCCAAAATAAAACAAAAATTCCTCAAAACCGGTTTTTGAGGCATTTCCGCGTTAAGACGTTTCACGTTCACTAGGACAGACCCCAATTTAGTACGGGCTTTGTATCTAATAAATAACGAAAATTATTTGCAAGGATCAATCCATTTGCAGACGAAAATCATCGATTAACCTTTAAAATAACAACATTTCTTGCTCTATATTCACTTTAGCATTTGATTAAACAATTGAAAACTGTTCATGTTGAATATCTTGTTTTAGTTTTTATAGAATAATTACCTGATTTCCCTGATATTCTTGTGGAAATTGATGAATATTGAATAATGAAATGTGCGCAGTGTCGCAACGTGTGGTAAGTTTCAGCTGAAACACACCCCGGCCTGTAGTACTTAGTAGACAGTGGTGAAATCAAAGTACTGTGTCGGATACACATTTCCTATTGGGCGTCTTACATCATAGAAGGTTGCTCTCATTGGCTGGTATTTTCACCTTTCATTATAATTGGATAAGGCTACAAATAGACACTAGGAATGACGTCATGAAATCAAATAATGAAATAACCATGAAATAACAAAATTTTACTGTAACGACTGTAACGTTAAATATTAAATAACCCCAGGTCCGTGGCCAGCGGAGTATTAAAACGATATCTAAGTGTCGGTCCTCAGAGTCAGGGGGGATAATGTAAAAATGGTGTGCCCCCCCCCTTAAAAATTGAACAAAAACCATGGTAAATTTCTGCAATTTTTATTATCACATAATTAAAACCAAATTTCCATGATAAACAAGAATTGATTCTCCTTCATTTTATAAGGTGGTTGGAGAAAACGTGGAAAAATCAAATATTAGGCACAGAATACAAATTGTTTGACTGGATAGTACTGGATTCAATTTTGAGAGTGAGGCCTTCCAGTTAACCTATATACTTTAAAATTGTTAAAGTAATTATCATAATAACATAATTTTTACATAAATTAAGGTAATAATGTTGGTGATTATATTTTCTTTTTTCAGCGCTTAATAACTTAATAATAAACCCTTTTTTCTATGCGCGAATGAATTTTTTTTATTAATAATCTTCAGAAAACTCTGAAATTTCACTTAGTAAAGCTATATTTTCTAGTAACAAAACGCTTGAGTACTGTGCTATAATGTCGTCTTTCTATTCCATTGTTTTCTGGTTAATGTATGAAATATTTAACATAAGGATTTTTCTTTTTTCCCAATCACAATAATAACAATTGCATCAGACTCTTATAATTAAGATTTTTTGTTCCAAGACCATTTTTTATTAAAGAGGGAGGGGTTTCTGGTTTTTAAAATGATAAGAAAGAAAAATAGTTCAAAATTTACCCTGACTCTAGTTTCAATCTAGTTCCTCTAATTTTCTTATTGTTGTGATACAATAAATCTATAACATATTTATAGGTTTTTGGAAAGCCCTTCACTCTTCAGCTCTGTTTCAATAATCTGTATAACAATTGGCAAATTTGCAAAAATCCAAATATTACTGCAAAATCTAGTTATTAAGCAAAAAAACGCAATTGCAACTAATTATACATTTTTGAAAAGCCCTTAACCCAGCGAATTCTCATGTGCAAAAACATTTACCAAATTTTTAAAACCTAAATGTGTATTCAAGAAAACTGAAAATGTGCAAATTCCCTTTAAAGGCGTCAGTGCAAAATCTGTGCAAAATTCCTTTGTAAAAATTGTGCCATCTGGTCGCTTTTGTCATAGGCTTTCCAAAGAGCTATAAAATGTTATAATTCAATAACTGGAAGTAGGTTTAAGTATAGATTTAGTCCATGGTATAGGTAAAATAAGGCATTTAGTACTCAGTAGGTATAAAAGCCCATATTTTAGCCTTAAGTGATGGGCATGTGTTAGTTAGAAAAGTCAAAAAACTTAAGCTTCCTGGCTAAAATACTTTTTGAGTTATTGCAGAAAAAGATAAGGAGGGTCAAATTTAGAATTCGGTGATGGTGATGGACCAAACCTCTGTAGAGTAAAAAAGTAGATGTAGTTCCACATTTATTGAAAATATATTTCGGTCTGGGTTGACCCTCGTCAGTTCTTTCTATATAATAACCAATAAAATCGATAAAAAAAATTTAAAAAATTGTAAAAAGTCACAAGAAGATAAACAAACAAAAAAGATTATTTAAAAATATAAATTTGGGCTGTCAATTGGACATAAGGGAAACGAACTCAGATTATGAGATGGAAAAAAGATAATTTGCAAATATTCACTTTAAAAAAAAAATGTTTTATGACAGTTATTATTCCTTTAGATTGTTTCTGTCACAATGATTAAAAACAAACTGTTTAGATGTATGTTTATATGAGTGGTGCATTGTGGATACGGCTTGTTTAAGGAGGGGTATTCAAACCTTTTAAAGAATGGGAAATAAACATCTTTTTTTTAACCATACTGAATTACAGTTTACAATTAAATAAAAACTAATTTGTTCTGTTCATTCCTCTGAGTTCAGTCATAAAACCTCTAATGTATTTAGATTCTCGTACTTCAAGTAAACTTCTTCCGTGGTCCCAAACCTTCTCTAGAACGCTAACTTTTAGATGGTAGAGTTCATGTCCAGGAATGTTAAAATGTTCTCCTGTAGGCTGGTTTGTATGGAGATTTCTAATGTAACCAATATGTTCTCTCACTCTTTCATCTGATCTTGTTGTCTGTCCTATATATTGTAGTTTACACAGCTCACATGTATGTATCCAAATACAGTGAACTACATTTCTGGTCTTACAGTTGCAAGTCAAGTTGACCCCCCTCCAGGCTAAATAGTGTTAAACCACCTTGAAAATGTTTCGTTTTAAATAATTTCCTTTTTTTCAGAGATAGATAACATTGATGATTAATGATTTTTGATGAGACACAAACCAGATGGTATATGCATATTATTATAACTATAAATATAAAGATGAGAAAATAAATTAAATGGTATTTCAATGATATTTTCGACTTTCGTTGTATCTTTCATCCCTTCAAGGTGAGGTAAGGCTAATTTAGAGAGATTTGTACTCAGAATACACCAAATTCCTTAATGTGCAATAAACTCTGCATGCAGCTGTACAATTCCAACCGCCAAAACATGATATTGAACCCAGTATTCAAACTTTAGTCGCAATCCAGAGTTATAAAGTTACACATATCAAGATAGAATGGAGCGAGGTATATTAATATTTATCAAAAACCCTCTCCTTCCAAACAAAATTGTATTATTCTTTTAAAACTCTTCAATAAAAGGAGTTAGGATTGAAAACATAGGATTTCTATCCAATACATGAAATTTAGTTTAGTTTGACGTACAATACTCTTCAACAATTGAGGAGTCAGGGTTGAAAACATAGGATTTCTATCCAATACATGCAATTTACTTTAGTTTGACGTACAATATACTCTTCAACAATTGAGGAGTTAGGATTGAAAACATAGGATTTCTATCCAATACATGAAATTTAGTTTAGTTTGACGTACAGTACTCTTCAACAATTGAGGAGTCAGGGTTGAAAACATAGAATTCCTATCCAATACATGCAATTTACTTTAGTTTGACGTACAATATACTCTTCAACAATTGAGGAGTCAGGGTTGAAAACATAGAATTCCTATCCAATACATGAAATTTAGTTTAGTTTGACGTACAGTACTCTTCAACAATTGAGGAGTTAGGATTGAAAACAAAGGATTCCTATCCATTACATGAAATTTAGTTTAGTTTGACGTACAGTACTCGGCCCAGAAGTTGTCTTAACCTATTTGGACAATCTTGAACATGATAAAAAATCAGCAGATGAAAAGACAGATAATAAAGAATATAATGTGGATGGATAGGAATATTGTTGTCTTCATCACTTCTTCTTTTCTTTTCTTTTCTTCTCCAGGGTTCTCGTCGTCAATGTTTCTCTAAAAAAGGAATTTAGTTTTTATAACAAACTCTGATTTTTTAATTCCTATTTCTATGCAATCCATGCATGTTGTAGACCTTAGATTTTTCAAACTATGAATTCTGCTATGGATCAAACAATCTAAGCTTGCAATATCAAAGATTTCAACCATCAGGTTGCAAAGATATAGGGATTAGAAAATTTGAGTCCGTGTCAAAGACTCAATGCCTTTATATTTATCAAAAAAATTGCACGAAGCTCATTAGTATTTAAACTTAAACAATAAAATTACTATCTATACTGAATCAGTGCATTAGATGGCTCTAATAATTATAAATTATCATATAGCCATAACATAAAACAGATTTTGCAATAAACATAACATTATGAGCATGTGTTATCATAAGAAGTGTGCTTAAATGTCCCAAAAGAGTATTCTCATCTTCCGATTCATGTGAACTCTTGAAAATCTGTTCTTTTCATGCATATTTGTCGTTTATATGCATATACAGGGTGTCCCACGAAACATTAGTTAGTAAATAATTTTGAATGTCGTCTTCCATATACTTTGGGACAACCTGTATCTTTACCTATATTATTCAATCTAAACATTTCTGCAGATAAAATTTATCCAGAATTTATTTCTGGCACTTCGTACTTCATATGAAAGGTCTAAAAGGAATCTTGAGTCTCTGCCACAAACTCTGATTTTCTGATCCCTATATTTTTGCAACTCCATGTCGAATATCATCTAGCTATTTCAAACTATGAATTTTATTAGATCAAAAAATAAAAGTTTGGAATATCATAGGTTTAGACCCTCAGATTGCAAAGATACAGAGATCAGAAAATTTGAGTTTGTGAAAAAGGCTCAATTCCTTTACTTTCCAAGTACAAATTTATTCACCTTAGTTTCTTCCTCAAGTTGAGACGGCGGCGTACGTTTGGGTAGATTGTCAATGCCATGCTGAAGCTCAATCACGTCAGGAGTTATATCCAAAATTAATCCTACTGTTGGAACAGTAACAGCCTCATGGACTTCTCTAGAAAAAAAAATTATCAAATAATAAATAAATGCATCGCCATGTATATCAATACACTGAAGACGACTTTCCTTTTTAATTTTGATCAAAGCTTTCAAACAGCAGAAATACACATTTATATAAAGAGAAGTTGTCAATTAACAGCTTCTAAACTTCTTAGCTTGTAATTTAAAAAAATGCTTGTTAGGGATTAGAGTATTACTAATAAAAAAGTTATCTTTGCATTATATTGATATAGTCATCGATCACTGTGTGAAACCCCATTAACAGAAAAACTTTTCCATTTCAGTCCCATGATACTTTTCAAATTCTTTGATATAATGAAGAAAACATTTAAAATATCAGAATACTTTACTTGAGATACTTCAGAATTCTGGTGATCATTACTCCTTATATCAGAATACTTAACCTGAGATACTTCAGAATTCTGGTGATCATTACTCCTTATATCAGAATACTTTACCTGAGATACTTTAGAATTCTGGTGATCATTACTCCTTATATCAGAATACTTTACCTGAGATACTTCAGAATTCTGGTGATCATTACTCCTTATATCAGAATACTTTACCTGAGATACTTTAGAATTCTGGTGATCATTACTTCTAATATCAGAATACTTTACCTGAGATACTTCAGAATTCTGGTGATCATTACTCCTTATATCAGAATATTTTACCTGAGATACTTCAGAATTCTGGTGATCATGACTCCTAATATCAGAAGACACACTAGCAGAGTTACAATGCTTGGCAAGATCACGTAGTAAATCATAGCCTCTTAATAAAATTTTTATAAAATATTGTATTTTTGTGTGTCTTATGTTTGTTTTTTGACAATATATTAAGATATAACAGCTTATCTGCAGTGATACAATGGCTTGCAGTAGAAGAAAATATAATTACAATTTCTAATTCATTTACAGTAACAAAGATTGTTCTAATACTTAGGAAAATAAAAGATTTGATATGTGTTGTACATATGTTCAAATCAAAAATTAAATTCACTCTGCCAAGTTTAAGTGAAATAGCATTTTAAAACGCGTATATTATGGGAATTTGTCCAGGGGGGGGCCTTTTTTGACATTCCAGAGTGCTGTTGGAATTAATTATTTCTTTTTCATCATTACATTGAATTTCTTATTCAAATGAATTTGTTCGTATTTCTTCAAATTCTTAAAATGTCGTCATTTCAAGTAAAATTCCCAGGAAATCTTCAGCAAATGTTTGTAAACAATGAGACATTACAGAAACCAATAACCGAATAAGATTTCTTATATTCGACGATAATTCATCCCTCAAAAATTGAATTTGCGCTCTTGCTGAACAAATATGCACCGTAAAAACGTCTCATAGGTCTCAAATGATTCCTAAAAAAATTCCCCAAAATTCTACATTCTCAGTTCAACTATATACATTGCCGGTCACTCCCTTGCACGCAATTTGCAATGGTGAGTTCTTTTATTCCGCGGAACTCCGGTTAAAAACCCTACAGCTTATTCCTACCATTTCTCCAGAAAGCATGTGGGTTGTGCTCTGGAGCTTCCTGGTCAAGACGTGGATCCAGCAGAATCTAAACATTAAAGGGACTGTACGCTTTATTTCAAGTGACCTTCCTTGCAAAGATTGCATGGCAATGCCCGATTTACAACGGGACCCATGAAAGCTTTATTCAATTTTGAGGGAATTTTTATCCCGTTTTTTACTCACAATTTCATGATCTTAGACAAAAAAGTTTCTTATTTGTTTCAAGGACAGTAGGTAACATTTTATACCGACAAAGCAGGTTTCCCTTTTTATTTCGCGGATTTTGATAAAAAAGCGCACATTTTTATGTAACTTGAATTGAATAAATTTATATACCCAACTGTCTTGTGTTATCATTTGGGAAATTATGTTTCTGTTGTGATTTTTACTTTTTCTTTGTTTTTGGTTAATATTCAAGATTTTACCTTAAACGGACAATAAACAAAAATAAGATTGTTTCCAGAGTTTACAGTAATAAACAGAAAACGATTAAATAGAAAGACGACATTTTAGCAACACTTCAGTGTATTTGTATTGTTTTCTAGACACTCAATAAATCACCAAACTAGTAAAATGGATAAATATGTAATGCACAATTGCTGTGTCTCATGCTCATTGGAGTTTGTAAAGTTATTATTTAATTATAAAAGTCGTCTTCCTATTTCAGACTTTTCTAGTCACTGTACCAGGGACCGAATTTTATGAATTGGAGGGATCGCTGAACTACCTGCTGTCGGTTCATATCCTGAATCACCGATAAACTCTTTAATCAATTACCTTAATCTTCATGAATTCTTAACTTTGAATCGGCGATTCATGATTTGAACTTGCGGTAGGCAGTTAGACATGACGTCACGCAATTTATGAACTCCGATACCACCATGTATCCATGAAACGTACATACCAGGAAGTATCCAAGTAAAAACCCTGCCAGCAGAGCACCAGATATCCAGACCAAACTCAATTTTACAGAGAAGAGCCAGGACTAAAAAATGGTAAATATCACTCTTCGCTAAACGTACTATATATCTTCGGTCAGTGTACTGCAAATTACTGCAGAACACACCGAAAGCCGGAGACAAAATGTCGGTATGTCGGAGACAAAATGTTTGCAGGGATGGGAGATATTTGTCTAAAATACAATACCTTGTTTTTGAAGAAGAAATGAATGAACTGTTTGAGTATCTCCAGCTGAATAAAGAAGAGAGAGGCTCCGAAAAGTCCTAACCTGTTATTATTTCATGATTTTAAATGATTAAAAATTGTTCCACAGTTCTTGACACGAAGATTCTTCCAGGATTGGTTAAATATTTCTTAACATATTTTATGTTTCACGTAAAATGTCTGCAAATGAAAATAACCCTGGCAGTGGGACAATATATTTTTTATCCAAAACTACCAAAAATTGTTCATTTAAACCTACAAGAAAACATTTTAAGTTTTTTTTTCGAATTTAGCGTTTTTAAAAATCAGAGATTACTATAGAGAGGTCAATTTTTTAGCCTTTCCTATACAGGTACCTAAAGTTGTGCCAATAACCACTGAATATGTCCCATCTGTTGGTTTGATATAGGGCCAAAAAAACTTTGGAGACTCTGACAAATTTCAAGGAAAAGTGAGTTAGGGAAGAAATCATCATCATTAGAGTACTATTGGAGGAATTGGAGACACACTTCCCTCAAGTATGGAGAAGTTATAATATAATATAATTATTAGGTGAAAAATCTTCACTAAAAAAGGCCAATTTTTAATTCACAACGAACTGTGAGCGCGTTTTTTTATATTTATTTATCAGAAATAGTTGTATGATACCGGGTTATCCACAAAGGATGAGACTTCAAAGATGACGAAAAAAATACTGTCTGTGTCCTTAAATGCACGGCGGCCGTAAACTTGTCGCTTGTTATGCCAAATCATCATATAAGCCAGTGAAAGAATGTATTCAAGGAAGACGTTTCATTTTAACTTTGAAGATTCATTTGAAGAGTTTCAAGTCGTCTTAATGGTCTCAATCTTTGTGAGTAACCCTGTAGTTAATATTTACCGTATGACTGGTGGAATTTTAACATGTTCTAATCTAAGAGTATCCAGTGAAGTAGCAATCACAGAGACAAAATTGGCCAAAACAAATGCCTGATTATATTAAAACAAATGAATATTTAAGATTTTATTTATCTAAATATATACTTTCCTTGTGTCTCTGTCTGTTTATTTGATTGTTTGTTTATATTCAATAAACGTCTAAACAAGCGGCTGAACTGAACGGACCTACCATGACCCCATGGATTGAAAAAAATTGCCTTTAGAAAATTAGATTTTTTGACAAATTTCAAAAATCCACAAAAAATAATCCTCGAATTTATGTCTTATTGTTTTATATTAGGCGAAGAGAAAATGCTCTCAGACAATTAATTGTTGAAATAGGAGATGGGCGCGGAGCACCCTAAAAACCTTGTCTAATTAAAATGTTTCAGACCTTACCAAGGTTATCAGGTTGGAGACCACCAGAATTTTTTTCCTAAATATTTCATGTAAAGGAATTTTGTCATTACTATATCTTTGCAACCTAATGATGTCAACCTTAAATATTTCAGACTATTTGATCCAACAAATTTTAACGTTTTACATTGAAGGCGAGTTATGTTTAAATTTTTTGATAATTCGCTTAAAAAAAACTTGTTATAAGTCAAAACTTAAAAAAAAAGTCGTCTAAATTGTATTTAAAAATTGGGACTATGCCCCCCCCCCCCCCCCAATAAAAATGTTATACCTACAGACCCAATATATATATAGATAGATACCTTAAGACCCTATATATAAAGTGAAAGTTTGGTGTGCATGAGAGCCAGCAAAGGACTACACAGCCGGTCATATACAGATGTAGATGCGAGTTTTTCTAAATAAAAATGTTTTTATATCATTTTATTTCTATCACAGGATTCCTGCAAAGATGCAATTTTCTTTTTAAATCCTAAATATTGCAAAGTGATTTTAAACTGTAACTAACCGGTTATTTCTCTGTAAAGAAATATACTATGCAACCTATCCGATAATTATGACATGCAAGAAACTGATTTATTTGTAAATTATACGTTTCCATCTTGGCTAACATATAAGTCATATTTGCACGAAAATATTCACCGCACAACCTTTGATTTGGGAATGGAAGTCGACTTTGAAAGTGAAACCGATAAAAAAAATTTTTTGTTTCGTTTTGGATTTAAAAACGCGTGTTTTTTTAAAGGATGAAATATTATCAAAAAGATCATATTTTACTATGTTTTACTACTTTTTACTATTTTTACTGTTTTTTTACAATTTTTTACATATATTGAAAACAAAAAAAAATCAAATGAAAAATTATGTTTTTAGTTTATCTTCTTAAATCATTAAGATTTTTAAAAAATATTTTAGACGTACTTATAAATGTTATATTATTAAATACAGAGAAGGAATTTAAAGAATTTGAGCCGCGGTTTAAATCTGCCAAAACCCGGTTTAAATTAAGCGTCTTGAAACATTTGATACAATTTTAAGTGGAACCAACCATATTTAAGCCGCGGCTTAAATTTAAACCGCCGCTCAAATTCTTTAAATTCGGCCATTGGATACTTTTTTAGCTTAAACTTTATACTTTATGAATTATGTTCTAATTATAGGAGCTATTTTTTATTTTACATTTTAAAATGGCATTCCTTAAAATAAGCTTGATCGATTATTAAAGCCAAGAAAAATTCAGAAAAATGAGCATTTAAAAAAATAATACTGTCATACCTAGAAAACTTCAAAATAGGAAGACGACGACTTTTAGAACCAAGTTATAACTTTAAAAAAACCAGTGAACATGAATAATAGTAATTGTTCATTTTAACAGATCTATTTCACTTAATTAGTGACTTAATTAGTATGAATCAAACTATTTGCTTTATAATAACATTGAATAAACGTATTGCTATGAGTTCATTTTCTTCAAGGTTGTAATGCAAGGAAAGTTAATTGCTGTCGCGTATACTCTGCGTATCATATTGAAACCAGTTCTCTCTGGGTGGAATTTGTAAACAAGAATAGATGCATCAGTGTTCGTTTAGTATCCGTGGAGGTTAAAAGCATTAAATTTTTATAATTTTGATAATTCACATAATAGTTTCTTATGACTAGAATATTTCATTGATTTTTTATGTGAAAGATGGATCCCATGTCAGGCTTCGACATCCGTCTTGTGTTTACATTAGCGCCCAGAGACAGTACACTGCAGTACACAAGATGTGTACACTTCTGAAGTAACTTTCCTTGAGTTACATCCTTGGTTTTCTTATTCCAATTTTTCCCAGTACTTTCCCCCAGTTATACCTCTGGCAGGGTGTCAGAGTTTCCATCCCCACTGGTCTCATTGAGGGAAGTGACGTTATACATGTTTTGGTCAATTGTTCTTCCTTCTCTGCCACGTTTTTTAGTATAATTGGGGAACACAGGCCAGAAACTATATCACGCTATTCATTTAGTGTTAAAAATAAGAAAAATATATAAATTGTGACAACAGGTCGAAATTTAATTTTTCTGTTTTTAAAGTTTTAAAATTTTAAAAGTTTTAATGACGATATTTGCAAAAGATAAAAACAAATTATAAAGATTTTCCTAATGAATTAAAATCTTAATTCATTTTTAATATCTTATAGCGGAAGTGCCTGGTGTTGCCCGAGGAATTTTAAAAATACTTAAGAAAAAATCGAATTTTAAAAGAAACAGTTTTTCTGTCTATGCCACCATGAGTCCCCTCCAAAAAGTCAGCAGATTTGGTTCAGCCGTTTGCCCAGCTATGGCTAACATATAAATATATATATATTAATAATAAATATATTAGCGCGCGAAGAGCTTTATTAAAGATTTCGCTGAATTTTTACTCTTTTAAATTTAGATACTTTCTGTTTGAGTGGTAAATTGGTACTGTTATAACTTATAAGCCATACATTAGTTTTGTGACAGCTTTCTGACATTTCAGCTATTTACCCTTTTCAACTTAATTTCCCCTTTAACACAATTAAACAAAAAATCCATTTACGTCACGAACTAAAAATAGTTAAAAATACAAAATCAGATGTAAGTACGTAACTTTTTTCATCGTGGATGACATGTAATTACTCCATGTCAAACGAATTGAGTCATTGTCACAAACTCTTAATCCCTATATTTTTGCAACCTAATTTCGTAAACTTTAAATATATCAAATTATAAACTGCTTTAGATCAAATAATTAAAATTTGACATGTTAAAGGTTTACACCATCAGGTTTAAGTTTGAGACAAAACTAAATTAATTTATATTTTATTTTCAAATTTAAAATGAATATTTTTCCTAAATAACAGATCGTCATAATGCATTGTGAACTGAATCGTCCTTTCATAATTTAGAGGCCATGTGTTCCATGTGTTCCATGTGTTCCATGTGTTCCATGTGTTCCATGTGTTCCATTCCGTGTTAAGTTAAGAATATTTGTTCCGAAAATCAAGTAAAATTTAGTTAGCCATTATTCATTTCCAACAACAGAGAACATTTGTATCTGAAACGGATATTCTTTAAGATAGATGTTACCGCTATGCAATTTCTATTGGTTCAGAATAGACACGAAACACATGACTAAACCCTGATTGGATCAGGCGCTAATGGACTCGGCATACAAGAGTGCTCGTGTACAAATATGTTTTTCTTTAAATTTTAAAAGGCGCCCCTTTAGTAAAATTAAATTCAACCTATATGAAGCATTAAATCTGACCGCGTCGACCTGGTTGCACCGGCTAGTCCTGTCCATAGAGCTAGGTACAGAACAAACTAGGACCGGAAAGGTTGACCCGGCTCGGAAATTCAAATGTACTCCGGCTGCCCGTGAAGAAGTTGTAAATTATAAAAATGACAATCTACATATAAATTTGGCTTCACTTCAACATTTGATAAAAAATATCATAACAAAAACCTAATTAGGGTTTGTTAAATTCAGACTTTTTTCAAGCAGTTCAAAAAACAACTTTTCAGGTATCTGTACTTTAGCTAAGAACTGTATAATCAGTTTGTTAACGGCATTTTCTGTTCTTCCTCAAAGTTTCCTGCCGTTAACGATTTTAATTTTATTAACGGCGAGAACAGAAAATATTTTAGAAATCGTTAACTGTGCCAGCCGTTGACGAGCCATTAGCGAATATTTAATATAAAAAATTTCTTAATTAATGATTTTTGCCGTTCGTTAACAGACTCTTTCGTTAAATTTTAAAAACTTTCGTTCGTTAAATGAATGGTGCCTAGCCCTACCGGTATACGTTTTTATACTCCATTGTGTGGGGAAGGGAGGGGGGGGGGGAGGAGGATATATCTCGATATTTTCTAATCCTTTCCCTGATATTTTGACGTAACAAGATTTTTTTAAATTGGCTCTCTTGATTATCCTATTTGAAAATTATGATTCTAAGCATGTTCATTGGATCTAAGCAGAGGTATAAATCTAGAATAATGCTTTTAATGGATTCTACTTTTCTCTTTAATACCAGTGAAAAGGTTATCTATTAAATGTGTCTAATACACGTGACAAATGACAATGTATAAAGTGACAATGTATGAAGTATAAGAAAAAAACTTTCATAACGTTTTTTTATTCTCATTTTTCCCAATTGAAACAATGTTTTTCTAATTTTCTTTAAAAAATTACATTCCAGCTAGCTGTTCTTTTGACGTTTTTAGAATTTGTTGAATGATTTTTTTTCTAAAGATTAATTTTACATGGAACTGTATACTTTCTAAGAGAGAGCTCTGTATAACAATAAATAACGCCTTAAATTTTTTCTTCTATCAATAAATTTGGCTTGTCTGTCTGGGTGTTTGTTTGTTTGTTTGTATCCAATAAACGTCAAAACGGCTGAACAGATATGGCCCAAATTTTGTGTAGGACATCACGTGACCCCAGGGAAGGTTTATGAATGATCAAAATGTCTGGGTGTTTGTTTGTTTGTTTGTATCCAATAAACGTCAAAACGGCTGAACAGATATGGCCCAAATTTTGTGTAGGACATCACGTGACCCCCAGGGAAGGTTTATGAATGATCAAAATTTAAAAATAAAAAGTTTTTTTTTGTAAATTTGTAAAAATTTGAAAATCCACGATTTTTTTTTTCATAAAATCCGCGAAATTTTTTTTCTTTGTTTTTCAATGTTACAATGAGAACATGTTCACAATTGAAAATAGAAGATGGGCGCAGAGCGCCCTAACAGCCTAGTTATATAAACTTTGCTTGTCTGTCTGTCTGTTTTTTTGTATCCAATAAAAGTATTTTTTTTAAATCCTTGAACTTTTTTTTCAATGTATACAAAGAGAAAATGTTCACAATTGAAATAGAAGATGGGCTCGAAGCGCCCTAAAAGCCTTGTATTCTAAATTTCACTACAAAGGTCCCTGGTTGAAAAGACTCTTTTAACTCCCTTTTGACCCCTCTGTGATATGCAAAAAGTGTGAGACGAATTACAGAATTGTCAAAATGTAAATTTTTTCAAAAAATTCAAAAGAAATACTTAATGCTATAGTTCTATGAACTCTGGAGGGGCCGTTTTGGAGTTAAAATTATTTTTATCATTTCCTCCATAATCAAACCAATGATTAAAATGAGCCCCGATAAGATCTGATCATGGTGTAAACTTGGTTTGATTTGATTCTGAAAAAATTTTAGGAAATAAAACTATATTGTAATTTGGCCATTCAGATTGGAACATTTGCAGTGTGTTGGAATCTTTAGAATTTATCTTCAGATATTTCTATGGCCCACTAGACACTGTTTGCCCACCACCATGCAGACCCATTTATTGAAATGCTTTTTAGTGTGCAGTTGGAATAATATTTGGCAATCTAGAGATCTGAAATATCTATTTATGTCATTGTATTGAGTATTATTAAGTGCAAAAAAGTTTTTGCCGGGATTTTTATTTTGATCGAAAATAAACTTGAAAATCAAAATCCAGGTAAAAACTTTTTCGCACGCATGATACCCATTTCAATAACATATATAGTGTTATTCAGTTTTCCTCAAATCATTTAAAAGCAGCTCGATAAAGTTACTTAATCACCCCGTTGTAGGGTGATTAAGTAACTTTATCCCCCTACAATGAGACAAATCAGGTATGAAATTTGAAATTTTAAGAGCAGGGTGAAACAGTTACTTTTTCGCCCTGTTGTAGGGCGATAAAGTCACTTTATCACCCTACAACGGGAAATATTAAGTGAGATAAATTCCATCAATATTGAATAAAAAATAATCTCGATTTTTCATTTCATTTTCTCCCCTCTCAACATCTCTCAACATTCACATTTCAAACAAAAATTTAAATCCTCCTTCACCAATTGTTCCGAAGAAAATCATTTTTTTAAATTCCTTTTTTGTCTTTTATTTTTATTTTATTTTTAACTTGCATAAACTCTTGAGTCAGAAATATATATCAGAAAGAGTGTTAGAAAGAGTGTTAGTATGTTTTAATCGATGTTTTTGCTCTTTTCCCTCTTTCGCAAAAAAATGAGAATTTTTTATTTTCGTTTTCTAATGAAAAATGTGCCAATTGCAGAGAAAACCCGTAATTTTTAAACAAAATTTGCCAGTTTAAACTTTTGGGTCGCACACTACATTTTTTAGAAAAATAAATCCTTTATCTTGTTGTATCCTCCTGCACTTCCATCTCATATGAAAGAACAATATTTTGAGCTAGTTTGTGAAAAGGTTGTATTATGTATCACTGCAAATTAAAATCGACTTAAATTTTCTCATATCCATTATAGGGATGTTAACGTTTTCATTTTTCAGAAAAACGATCGTTTCGTTATGAAAACGACGAAGAAAAATCGAAAACGAAACGATCGTTTTTTAAAAAGTTCGTTTTTTAAAAATGGTCGTTTTTAAAACGATCGTTTTTCAAAACGATCGTTTTTTTAAAATTCGTAGTTCCGTTAACGATCGTTAACGACAACCATTCGTTAACGATCGTTAACGACGATCCCTTTGTTAACGATCGTTAACGAAGAGAGGAAACCGACCTGAAAAGGGCATCTGTACTTATCATTGAGTAGTTTTTAAGAAAATATCAAGGAGTTTTAACTCCCCCACTACTGTTAAACTTCACGTAAGACGACATTCAATAAATTTGCATGTTATTTTTTTCCAAAAACGACCGTTTTGATAAAGTTCGTCGTTTCGTTAACGATCATTAACGACAACCCTTCGTCAACGATCGTTAACGACGATCTTTCGTTAACGATCGTTAATATAATTGTCAATAAAACATTTTTTCATAAAAGATCGTTTTTTTAAATTAAATAAAAACCGGTCGCAAATCGTTTAATAAAAACGATCGTTTTCAAAAACGATCGCTAATCGTTTTCTAAAAGTTCAAAACGAGTGGGTCGTTTTTAAAAACGATCGTTTTTTCCGAAAACGAAACGATCGTTTTTGAAAACGAAACAAAAAACGATAAACAACCCTATATCCAAATATAACTTTCGCTTGTCTATGTCTGATTGTTTGTGTAAAAGTTTTCGTGACAACTTACAAAGTCGGATTAAAATGTAGATTTTTTTGATTGGTTGAACTTGAAGGGTTGGCGATTCTAAAGAAACTGAATCTCTGTTCTCTCTATTTATTAGAGATATCTTAAAAAAGGCCTCTTTAAGCGAGAGAGAAAAAATAAAATAGAAAACGCAGCAAGCAAAGAGTATAGGTTTATAATCAATTTATATACTTTCTAATAAAGCTATATAAATACAGTGGTAGTCGATTATATCAATACAATGAAGACGACTTTCGATTTCAATTTTGATTTATATCAAGCTGTTAAACCGGATGGATACAAAAAAAAACATAGAAGTCAAGAGAAACTGTCCATTAAAAAGCTTCTCTTTGATTATTTCTGAACTTTAAATTCTAAAGCAGCTTAAACAAACCAAAACATAGATAAAAAGTCGTCTTTATAGTATTTACATAATCGTCTACCACTGAATATAGACTTTTAATGCACAAAAAATTCATACAGTTAAACCCTAAATAAGCCATACATCGAAAGAATTCATCAAATGTCGTATTCTTCACTTTCTGATAATGGAATGTTGCAGATATTTAGTTCTTAATTAATTGATTATATGGAGCTCTTTAAAACTGCTCCCGCATATTCATTGATATTTTTTTATTTTCGCAAATACATGCAAGATTTACGTAAAATAGTATAAAACCCATTGAAAAATTGTCAAGACGACATTTGATAAATTCTTTCGATGTATGGCTTATTAAGGGTTTTACTGTATAGAAAATAATATAGAATAGAATATATATATATATCTACGATTTTCATCTTTATTTAAACAATACAATGTTTTATGTATTTATATATTTATATATTCATATATACATATATTTATCCGGCCTGGTTGTAATACATCTGCTGGTGTATAGTTGGCTGATGCTGGTTGTACCTAATTCATAGAAAACATTTTAAAAAAACTAATTTTACGCACATCTTTAATACTTAGTGCACCCTGTAAACTTCAATTTATTTCAAGAACCGGACACCTAGAGCAACCTGTACAGTACTTAATTAGTGACTATGTAAGGCAAACCAGGACGGTTCACCAAATGAATCCACCTCTTCTTGTGACATTAATGAGTACAATGTATCAAAGAGTCTATTATAGAGGAAACCATTATCATCGAATCAACAACAATCGAACATACCTTACTTCAGAAGGGTATAGTTATTTATCGGAGACCCTCGGTGATATAGTGATAACCAGAAATTTTTTGTTTCAGAAGACGACATTATAGCAATACTGAAGTGAGTTTGATGTTGTTACAAAGCAAATAACTTAACTCGTAAGTTATTAAATTATATAAGTGAAATGGGTTTGTTTACACTCCATGGCACAATTGTGGTGTCTTATGTTCATTTGACTATCCCAGAGTTTTCTAGGTATCACTGAAATACATAGGATTCATTCAAGACCACATCTTTCATAGGGAACAGGAAATATAAAAGTTTTAATCAGCGTATTTATATGTGCTTAGCTTTAGATTTGAGGAGGTTAATAAATCGTCGTCGTATATATCAATACAATGAAGAAGGCTTATAATTTCAAATTTTTACCAAGCTTTCAAAATGAATGCATAAACACATTGAAACAAAGAGAAGCTTGTAATTTGAAAAAAGCTTGTCAGAAATCAAAACTTGAAAAGAAAAGGCGTCTTCATTGTATTGATAGAAACCACTGTATCAACTTCATTGTATTGATATAAACCACTGTATCAACTTCATTGTATTGATATAAACCACTGTATCAACTTCATTGTATTGATATAAACCACTGTATCAACTTCATTGTATTGATATAAACCACTGTATCAACTTCATTGTATTGATATAAACCACTGTATCAACTTCATTGTATTGATATAAACCACTGTATCAACTTCATTATATTGATATAAACCACTGTATCAACTTACCAAGAGTTTCCATTAGCGTACATATATTGTCTTATACTTTCCCACCACCGCCAATCTCTTCGCTCCTCGTGAAAGATATCTCTAAAACATTTAAGATTTATTTAAAGAGACTGTAAGCTTATTTTCAAGTGAAACTTCACAAAGATGGCAATATTCGATTCTAAGACGTGTACTCTTGAAATCTATATTGAAAGATATTATTGGTTTAATGTAAACCATGGATACTTAATACTGGAGCAGACAAACCTTTACAGGGTATTGTTGCTAATCGGGCCTTGACACTTGCAATTACACTTACAGTCCCTTAGAGTTAAATTTTTAAAACTATATTTTAAAGATGTATATTTATCTGCAGTATCTCCAAATATCTATGTTTTAAAGATGTATATTTACCTGCAGTATCCCCAATAATATATGTTTTAAAGATGTATATTTACCTGCAGTATCCCCAAATATCTATGTTTTAAAGATGTATATTTACCTGCAGTATCCCCAAATATCTATGTTTTAAAGATGTATATTTACCTGCAGTATCCCCAAATTGGTTCTCAGCACATCGTGTGTGCTCCTACAATAGATTTAACATTCTGTTTTTTTTAAATATAATTCCAAAATATTTTTTTCAATATAAATGAAAATAGAATTGAAATTACCTTTATATTTTTATTTCTGCTTTCTTAAAAAAGGAATTGAGTCTTTGCCACAAACATAAGTTTTTGTATCCCTATATCCTTGCAACCTGATAATGTATGTTTGATATTTCAAACTTTTAATATTTAATCTAACAGTTTGAAATATCTACGACATTGGGTTGCAGAGATATAGGGATTTGAAAATCAGAGTTCGTGACAAAGACTTAATTCAGCTTTATCTAGAAATAGCCATTGCAATAAGACTAGTACACAAACATTGCAATAAGACTAGTACACAAACATTGGAATAAGACTAGTACACAAACATTGCAATAAGACTAGTACACAAACATTGCAATAAGACTAGTACACAAACATTGCAATAAGACTAGTACACAAACATTTCATATAATTACCGTGAACACCATTCATGGCACGGTGTGTTATAAAGTTCTCGCTTTAAACCTTTTGGGTAAAGAGAAAATGTCTGTCCAAAAACATTATTATAATGTTATAAACAGTTGATTTCTATAACCTTAAAGAAAATTAGAATGTTTTTTTTTAAAGATTGAAATCAAACCTTTGGATGATCCAAATAGTGTAATCTGTTTCTGCAGTCTTCGCCACATTCAGAATCAGAGCTTTCAAAACAACAAAAATTGTGTCAGAAACTACAGATTCAAAAACGCCAAATATATGTATTTTCAATAACAAAACGAAATTTTTAAATCTCAATTTGTTCAGCCGGATCTGTATGGATGAAGCATAACATTTTTAAATCTCAATTTGTTCAACCGGATCTGTATGGATGAAGTATAACATTTTTAAATCTCAATTTGTTCAACCGGATCTGTATGGATGAAGTATAACATTTTTAAATCTCAATTTGTTCAACCGGATCTGTATGGATGAAGTATAACATTTTTAAATCTCAATTTGTTCAACCGGATCTGTATGGATGAANATCTTCTGCTTGAAGGGGGGGATGGTAGGAAGATCTTCTGCTTGAAGGGGTGGGGGGGTTAGGAAGATCTTCTGCTTGAAATCGTGAAATTATACTCCTTAAAGACAGAAAAGTAGAATGAAAATTAATGAAGAAAAAATATATTTTAATTTCTTTGATATTTACTGCCACAACAAGTTTGAGAACATGACCGGGTTTTTTTTTTAAACGCTTCGGTCCTACTCTAACACCGGTTGTTTAAGGACTGAGTCTGTTTATATTTAGAGCGTTCTTAGTGTAAGTTCCTTGGGTCGGCCGTATCTTTGTTAAAGTATAAGCATTAAGCATGCATTAATCTGTAAAATTTCAGAATAAAATCTACCTGGAATTTTCGTCGTTTTCTGTGTCATTGAACTCGCTCCCTTGCTCTTCAACAGTTGGGTAATTCTCTATTTTATTCAGATAATTTAATGTTAATTAAAGGAACTAGAAGCATTATCTGAATGACCCTACATGCAAAGATGGGAGTGTCCGATTAAAAACGGCACCATTTAAAACTTTGTCGCAAACACAACGGTAAACTTCCACATTTTTAATCAGATTAAAATTTCAAGGGTACACTTGAAATTACGCTTACAGTCCCTTTAAATTGTATTAAATTTAATTAAATGAACTCATCTATATTGGTCTTGTTTTTGACAACTTAAACTATGATATAGTTCAAAAAAACCTTATTAGTTAATTTCATTCAGCTTGTATTATAGTTTTGAGTTTTGTGGAAATAAATAAAGACGTGAATAATTAATAAAATTTTATCATTTGATTTGAAGTTTAATAATTTATTGATTTTTTTGTATGTTTTATCAATATACCTCTAGATATAGGACGAGTGGTTCTTTCTCTGGTCTGGCGTCGGTTTTCATACCAGGAGCTTTAAACATTATTAGGGATGGTATCTTTATTGTCTAGATGGTAGATACACTGCGTTTCAAGTTAAGTTATAAAAATCTGGGTTTTTTTATCCTGACTTATATATAAATTTTTTCAAATTTTTAGATAGCGTGTACTCAGGGGGGGGGCAGGACCTTCGCATCCCCAGACAGATTCAGGGGGGGCGTAGCCCATCCGTCAGTTTTCAGAATAGCTTCTCCATAGCACTCAGAACGTGTCTAGTCCTAGCTGTAGGATGATGTCAAAGGTTTATGGAACTCATAAAATACTTGTTAAAATATATATATATTTGAATCTGTATATATATACACGGTGAGTCAAAAAAAGTGTGATTTGCGGCGCCTGGTGCAAAATTGTACCCTTTTTTGCGCAACTCTCCTGTATGGTGTTTTTTCAATATTTTTTGAAAATTTGTAAATTTTTTTGGTACTCCAATGGCCCAAAAGAAAATCCGCGAACCTTTTTTTCTTTCAAAATGAAAAGTTCAGGAAAGCAAAAATGTGCATTCATATTATTTTCTCTAAATCTAAAATTTTGTTAAAATTGAATCACAGTATCACAGAAAATTGGCAAAATTGTAATAAGAAAATTCGCAATTTTCAGTTCTGGTCTAATTTTTAAGGAAAAGTTATTTAAATTCTGTAGTTCCTTTCTTCTTAGTATATTCTAAAAGTTGAAACCTTGAGAACCATTGAAAAACAATTTTTCCGTAAAAATTATACCAAAACTGAAAACTGCGAATCTTCTAATTACAATTTTGCAAATTTTCTGAGATTCTGTAATTCAATCTTTTTAAAATTTTAGATTTCGATAGAAACAATTTGTTTACACATTTTTGTTTTCTGAACTTTTGATTTTGAAAGAAAAAAAAGGTTCGCAGTTTTTTTTCGGACCATTGAAGTACCAAAAAAAATTACAAATTTTCAAAAAATATTAAAAAACACCATACAGAAGAGTTGCGCAAAAAAGTTACACTTTTGCACCAGGCGCAAATCACACTTTTTTTTTGACTCACCCTGTATATAATATATAAATACAATTGGTACCTCTCAGTTGTGGTAGGTGAGGGTAGGGCTGTCGAAGGCTTTCTTCCGGGGCGTTGTCGCCGTGAGGCTATTCTTTGAGGTTGTTGTGTAGTTGTTGTGGTTGTTGTTGTTGTTGTTGTGGTAGTTGTAGATGTTGTTGTTGATTGCTCTTGCGGTGCATCATATGAATCGTAGGATGGCCTTCAAATATAAATCTTTTCTTAAACTTTACTGAAAATCGAGAATTTTTGTCTAAAACGGTTGAATGATAGTTAAACTGCACAATTTTACAAAACGGGTCAAATTGGGTCCCATAATAGATATAAAAAATTCTTAATTGGATAAGGCATATTGAAGATAATATTTTATAAAAATATGACTCCGGTCATTGCTTTGAAATTCTGTGAAATACGCATTGATACAGGGTGTCCCACGAAACATGACAGTTGGTGAATAGTTTTCAATGTCTTCTTCCATTTTATTGTATTAGTTATTTAAGACTTTTTGCAGTTTGTTTAGTTAAACAAATCTTTTACTCAAATAAATATTTGTTTGAAATTAATTTTACTATAATATTACTGCCATTTAGTATTTATTATCATCATCTTTGGTATCAAATTCAACTGAACAAATAATGGAAGAAGACATTTTAAACTATTCACCAACTGTCTTGTTAGTTTGAAATATCAAAGGTCAACTAAATCGTCATTAAAAAACTAGAATTTATCTTTTAGATTCTTTCTAGAACATTTTATTTATGTCTAAGAAAAGGCTATCAAAAACTTTTGATAGCCTTTGATTAAATTTTGTGCTAACCTCGATAATTGTTTAAAAATTTAGTCTTTAATAAAAAAATGAGTGATAACAACAATGTAACTGGGATAATGATCATTTTCATTGGCTTTTAAGTTACAAGCTTTTCTTCTTATAAAGGGTAATCAATTTCACCAAAAAAAAAATCTTTTTCTGCCAGCAAAAAAATATTCAGAGGCAAATTAGAAGCCACATTTATAAGAGAAAAAACGAAAAAAAATCAAAACGCATTTAGCAATTAACGAAATAAAAAACAGCAATCATCATACGGGAAGGCCGATTTTTCATTTTTTCAAAACATGCTGAAAAGGTTTAAATATGCGCATTGACTCGCTAAATATCATTTATTTGTTTGTTTTTCGATATTTCAAAAATTGTTTTAAAACTAATTGTTTTATACTTTGACAAATTTCTTTCCAAAAATAATTTTTTTTGCTTATAAATTGCTCGATTTTCAATGGATCTTTACGAATTTAGCGTTTCTGAACTCAGTGATATCTTTATACCCATCACATTGGTGATTTGATTTAAACAAAAAGCAAAAATCTAATTTTAAATTAAGAAAAATTCTCAAATCTTTTTTTTATAAAGTTTTAAAGAAAATTTTAGAACTATTTTTATTAAAAAAGTGCCAAATAGTTTAGCCATTACTTTTACTTTGTACTTTTAATTTACCCATAGATTAATAACAATCGATACGATATGTCGTCTTTACAAGATTTAGGGGTTTTGCCTTCACAATAACCCTGAGGCATCAGCTAAAGGAGTTATGCTCATGCGCGTAGCTCCTTTGGGCTTCTGCCTCACGGTTATTGTGAAAGAAAAAAAATAAGTCTCGAAAAGATGCCATCTAGTGTTCTATCTGTGTTGATACTAATCTATGGATTTACCCATCCTCATAATTATCATAATACTGATAAACCTCTCCATAGTCTCCATAATCTCCATAAACTTCCTACATTAAAAAATAAAAATATTTAGAGCAACAAAAATAACAATCTGTTTGTCTTTTTGTTTGTAAACTATAAACGTCAAAATGGCTGAACCGACCGGGATCAATTTTTTTGCGGGACATAACATGACCCCAGGGAAGGTTTATAAATGCTCAGAGTTACAATAAATTGTCTCTAAAACTGTTTGATTTTCGTAAAATTTGAAACTTTTTTGTTATTGTTTTATATTGTAGAAAGAGAAGATGCTCATAATACAGTAAGTAAAAGTTGAAAAAGTAGATTGGCGCGAAGCGCCCTAAAAGCCAATTGCAACTTAAGATTCCTGTATAATAATCCATTTTTTAACCTGTGGGGCGGGTAAGGCAATACCGAGCCCTGTTTCAAATCCAAATTAATTAAAGTTCGATGATTAACCAAAATATAATACTTTTATCTTTAACTTTGAAAAATAATGTTAAATTATTTATCCCAATCAACTTTAACGCTGATTAATAATTTTGTTCATTTTAACAAATTCCCGATCTTTGTGATGTTAATTGCAGGTAGTGATGTTAATTGCAGGTAGTGATGTTAATCGGTTTGTTTTTTTCGCATTCATTTTCTCTCAAGATGAAAAGGTGGCAGAAGGTCTATAAAACATTTTGTTTTTTTAATTGTTTTTCTAAACATTTTCTCTTCATGCCAATTTTGACCCCGAGAGAAAATATATGCAAAAACGAACCAAAAACAAACCATAACGAACTAAAAACGAACCGAAAACGAACCAAAAACGAACCAAAAACGAACCAAAAACGAACCAAAAACGAACCGAAAACGAACCAAAAACAAACCGAAAACGAACTATCGTTTTTGGTTTCTATTTTGATTTTCCAACACTAAAGGTAAAGGTAAATAAATATTTATTTTCATGAAGTAAAATATTTCAATGGTCGATTTATAGTACGTGAATTACTATAACTATCATATTTAAGTAGCCATTTCATTAAATGACAATTACAAACGCAAATGAATTCCGGCTGGAAACTACTATGATCTTCTTTTTGAACAGTAAAGTGCAAATCTGTAACATAAAATCTTTTTACAGAAAAAAGTTTTAGAATTTTTCTAGAATTGTGATGAAATATGGATATTCCTAGAACACATGCGAGCACTCCTACCAGCTTCATCTCACTCTCTCTACTAATAATAATAAACTGGAGAGAGAAGTGTTTTCAAAATTCTAGATTTTCGTTTAATACTCTACCATTACTATTAACTAGCTTTGAAGTAAAATGTAAATAGCTTAGATTTTCTAATCCCTATTATTTTCCAACCCAATGTCGTAGTCATTAGATACTTGAAACCATGAATTAAAATAATCTAAGTTTGCAATATTAAATATGTACACCATCATATTGCAAAGATACACCGGCTAGAAAATTTAGGTTTCCTATAATTTCTGAAATTTTCAAATATATATTTTTTATTCTTGCTCGTTCTTGTTTATTATTGCTTATTATTGCATATGTGAACTTCAAGCATATTTATATTAAAATATTGAGAACTAGTATGAGGGGAAGGGGGGGGGGATTGCTCTAGAAAAAAAATAGCGTTTAAATGTTGCACTTTAACCCGGCATTCTTTTTCGTTGTTATTCAAAATTCGAAATTTTTTGCCTGGAACAATTATTTAATTCTATAACCAAACCTTCCCTGGGCCTGGGGTCATGTGAACACAAAAACATGGGCCAGATCAAGAAATATACAGTTCCTTGGGCCAGATCGGTTCAGCCGGTCTGAAGTTTATGGATACAAACAAACATATACAGAGTATACAGACACACAAGCCAAATTTATATTTTGCATGTTTGGGTGTCCAATATATAGGCGATAATGGCGTTAGTTAAATCTTGTTGACATTCTTTACTTTTTTAACCACCAATTTAAAGGGAGTGGTCGCGAAAAATTAAAAGTGAAAAATAAGCGCTTTTGATTACTACTAATCTTACTTCTATTTGTTGCGTCTATAAGGAGAAAATTGTTAAAAACGACTCATACCGAAGAACGTAGCGTCCAGACTCAGAAAGATGCAACATTCGACTCGGATCGGGTCATGTAGTGTGCTTAGGGAGACGGTTTTTTGGTGCTTGGGATAGTCTCCCTAAAAATTGTGACGTCACTTACGGAATTTAACTGTCAATTGCTTTGGAGACAAAATTTCTCGTACACTTAAGCGTACCTTAATACAACCTTGACTGAACGTCAATATCTCCTTTATAAAACTTTGCTTGTCTGTCTGTTTGTTTGTTTGTGTCCAATAAACGAAAAAATGGCTGAACCGACCAAGCTCAACATTTTCGAGGTAACTTACGTGACCCCAGGGAATGTTATGAAGTACAAAAATTAAAATTTCAGATTTTGAAAATATACGACAAAATGTTTCACGAATTTTTTGTTACTGTTTCATATTAGACTACAGAGAGTAGATGCTCACAGTTTAAAGACCCAGAATTAAAAATTAAAGAAGAATATGAGCGCGAAGCGCCCTAAAAGGCTGAAAGACTAGTATTGAGCAAATCAAAATTTAAAATTAACAAATTCTGATCAATTCTAAGCTAAAGCGGGCTAAATTCACCAGATATTCTTGATGCAAACCGTTTCTACAACAGTAAAAAAAATTTTCGTTTTTTCCTTTAACCCCTAAAATATTACTCATATTTTGGAAAATGCTAGCTGAGGAGAAAGCATTTTTTGAAGAATTCTTAATTCTGGTAAAAAGAAAAGTGACACAATATTTAATTTTGTCCGGTCTGTCTAAATCTTAGCCATGAGGTAGCTTAAAGAGGGGGGGTAGGGTGTAATGGGGAAAATAGAGAGAGCAGAAACGTTTAAGCTAGCCCTTTAATTTTTTTTCAAGAATAGATTCATAAGAAATTTTCTTGTGGCGCCACTTAATCACTAAAAATGAAAATTTTTTATTAAACATAAAAAAATCTAAAATTTTCTTCGCTTCAAAATATTTTCAGAATATAAGTCAAGGAAGTTTTGTTAAATTTCTAAAGGACCATCAGAGATATTTTACCCTGATTTTATTATTTGAAGAAAAAACGTGCAGAAACCCCAATGTATTAATACAAATAATCAAGACACATGAATAGATTTCATCTATATTTACGACTGTTTAAGGCACTAATGGACTAAATTAAAAAGCATCTACATTTAAATATTAAAATTAGCATAGCATATGAAATATCTAAAATTCTCCAAATAACAATTTAAGTACATTTGCTTGCTTACTACAAAAATTCATTAAGTTTAGTTCAGTAATATTCTTTCTTAAAATTTGGAGATTCTTCGTAAATTTCAGAATAACTGTGAACAGCATAAAAGTGAATAATCACAGATCTTACGAACAATGTTTTAAATAAATCATATAAAAAGTTAATTAGTTCACTGGGTTTGACAAAAAATTCTGTCAGACATTTCAAATAATTCTGTGACATTTCGTGATGTATTAATTACCTTTGTAAGGGCTTTTTCTAAATAGATAAACTTACATTAAATGACAAGATTTAGTTTTAGGCCAACAAAGCTTAAAATTTTCAATGTAAAAAGATGAGAAACATCGACTATCAATCTTAATGTATACATAAACATCAAAAAACAAAAGAACATTAAATATAATTAAGTCTAAAATGTTTTACCCATGAATATACGCAGAGATGAAGCGTCACTGCAAGGTCACTAAAAAATGTCCTTGAAAATTACGCAAAATTCCAAGGAAAGCTTTCTACATATATATACTGCATACATATAAATATATCGCTACAGACATGATGCATATATAATAATAATCATTTCAAAACATTTTTTAATTATTAATTTGGACATATAGGCAGTATTAGTAATATCTTACTTTTGTAAATAAGATTTTTAACATTTAAATAAAAGCTTGCTCTACAAGTTTACATGTAACTACATACAGTGATAACCAGAAAACAATGCAACAGGAAGACGACCTTAGAGCCATACTTAAGTGTACTTGATGTTAATCCAAAGCAAATAGTTTTTCTAGACACTAAATAAATCACTAATTTAGTGAAATGTGCTTGTTTACACTGCACAATTGCTGTGTCTCATGCTCATTGGACTTTTCAAAGTTATAACTTGATTCTAAAAGTCGTCTTTCTATTTCAGAGTTTTCTGGTTATTACTGTCTTAGGTAGAATTTTCCAGAAGAAACCATATTGGCACTTATGAATCTCCCTGTGCGTAAGATATAACCTTAAAATCTACTTAAAAAGATATATTAAGTATGTTTAGGACCTTCACTATGCATTAAAGAAACTGTATGCGTAATTACAAGTGAGCTTCCATACAAAGTTTGCCAGGCAATGCCCAATTTACAACGGTAACCTTGAAAGCTTTGTCTGATAAATTATGAATTAGATATCAATGTTTTTGTTTCTTTAAACTGTTTATTTTCAGTTGTGGTTTCTCTGCGAAAGAGACTTGCGTATTTTTTGTTTTTAAGAAACAATAAAGAAATTCACAGAAAAAAACTTTTCGAGCGAGAAAAATGACGGCATCGTTCACATTTTTTATAAGATTAAGGTTTCAAGGATTCCATTGAAAATAGGACGATGCTCTCTTTGCACCGCGGAGGGTCACTTGAAATTACACGGTATAGTTCCTTTAAGCTTGTTGAGATAGATATGTACTATTTCCATATTTTTCTGCAGCTGGACGTTTTTGACGGGTTCTTTGATTTCTTGACGAAAACACTGTCTGTTAGCATAAAGGTTTATCAAGCTTTTTATATTTTAATGTTCAAAGATTCAGCTTCACTATTTAGACCTCGGTTGCTTGTTGGCCTTGATCTAGGCCTGATGACTGCTTGTATAAGGCCTGGTGAATGTACCCTGAAAATGCATAGAAAGTAACATTATATGTTAAAGTTTGTTTATATAGTAAAGTTCAGATGATTTAAATAAACTTAAAGAAAACTAAAAATAAAATTAGTGCTATTTTTCATAAATCATATTTGTGTACATACATTTACAGTGCTGAGTGCAGAAAAAAATCATCAATCTCCATCATCTGAAAACAATAATGATTAATTTCATATCAAAGTAAATCTAAATATTTCATAAATGTATCGTAACTAGGCTTTCAGGGCGCTTGGTGCCCATCTTCTATTGTAACTTTAAATTCTGGCTCTATCGGTGACCATTTTCTTTTCGTACAACAACAGCAAAATCGAAGAACTACAGAAATTTTATCGTGGATTTATAAAATTTTACGAAAATCATAAGTTTATGTAATTCTGAGGATCCATAAACCTTCCCTGGCGTCATATGAGTTACCTCAAAAACTTTGCCGTTTGGATGTTTATTGAATACAAACAAACAAACACCCAAACCGATAAGCAAAGTATATATGTATATATAGAGAATAACCAGATATATGTGGAGATAAAGCAGGAAGGGATTAAGCCAGGAGAAAGTCTAGAATATGAATATGAGAGCTAGGGGGTTTAGATGAAAAACAAAAATCTGTCGGATAAATATTTTTCCCCTTTTAATAATCTAACGTCTGTTTTCTCTCACATATATGTTAACCCCTAGTCCGGGTAAAAATCATAAACTAAATAATTCCATCAAAATTTTAAATTTACGACATAAATATGAAATACAGGGCAAACCACAAAGGATGAGACTTCGGAGACGGTTTCCTTTTATTCTTGATTTGATCATCTAAAATCCTCTGAACCGGTTTTATAAATAATAATAATAATAATATGTTTTTATTCAATTGGGATAATTTACCACTTAGGGATTGTAAGCGTAATTTCAAGTGACCTTCCATGCAAAGATGGCAATGTCCGATTTACAATGATACCATTAAAAACTTTGTCTGATCAATTATGAATTAGTTATCCATGTTTTTTCCTTTAAAATGCTTGTTTTATTTGCGGTTTCTCTGAGAAAATGGCTTGCGCATTTCTTGCTTAAAAGAAGCAATGGAGAAATCGCAGAAATTAAACACTTTTCTAGTCAGAAAAACGACGATATCTTCCCCATTTTTATGACATTAAGGTTTCAAGGGTACTGTTGTAAATCGGAAATTGCCATCTTTGCATGGAGGGTCATCTAAAGTTACGCATACAGTCCCTTTAAACAAAACAAAGTTGTTTCTGTATTTAAACTATTTAATCTGTTCAGACCTTTTCATAATAACAGATGTTTATACTTTAATGTTATGTCATTGCACNAAATGGAAAAGGGAGAGGAAGAGGAGGGTTAATGGAAAAGAATAAAGTATCAAGGGAATTGAGTCTTTGTCGCATATTCAAATTTTCTAATTCCTTTAACTTTGCAACCTGAATTGGTGTAAATTATAGATATTTCAAACTTAGATCCTTTTATCTAAGAGAATTCATAGTTTGAAATGTCTAAGGTCTGCGACATTGGGTTGCTAAGATATAGAAATTAGAAAATTGTGCGTAGTTACAAGGTCACAAAGTCGTACCAATAAATATTTTTTGTCAAATTTCAAATATCAATAACATACTTGATAATGATGATTTAGATCCTCTCCCCAATAGTATTGCCAGCTGATCTCTGCTTCGACCAACCTGAAGAAATGTACCGGAGCTGAAAACCTTAGAATGAGATATCCTCATAGATAAAGATAGATTGCGCATAAGACGCCATTTTTCATCATGAAAGATATAAATGCAACAGAGATGTTTAAAAATATTCCTATTATATAGATTAACTAGGTCGGTTGTGAACATTGGCTGTTCTTATGTCATTGTATACTTGTGGTGTACATGAGTTCTGTAGAGAGAAATTTAAGTTAGTTTAGTCCTTCTCATGTCCTTCTTCAGTTCTCGTCAATATGATATATTGCTCCGTGAAATATTGTTGTTCAAATAGTTCCATTCCCGGAGTTATTTTACACTCTATTATGAAATCCATTAAAACACCAAACCACCCCGCTTATATTGAAGTACACTTTGACCCCTAGAAGTATTAGTTCGCAGACTGTACAATTCTTGGTGATTTTGCGTACATAAGCTATCTATGTTTATTTATTTATCTATGGATATTCTTAATCCCGATTACTTAATCTGAGTATCCAATGGACACACTTTTGATTTTCTTCTTAAACCGTTCTTTCTTTTTCTTTCAAAGGAATTGAGTTTTTGCCACAAACTCTGATTTTCTAATTCCGTCTACAACCCGTTTTTCTAGACCTTTGATATTTCAAACTATTAATTCTATTAGATCAAATAGTCTAAGTTTGAAATATCAAAGGTTTACACCATCAGGTTGCAAAGATATTTAGAAAATGCAAGTTTGTGGCAAGAACTCAATTCTTTTATCGGCTTCATACGCGTGTCTGATTGGTTGAATTTTATAAACTTTTCAGTATACAAGTACAAGAATAAGTTAGTCTTGATATTAAGAAAATAAGAGGATCAAGCATTAATCTCAATATCCACCATTCTAAAGTTTTCAGCTCGGGTATCCCAAAAAACTTTGCAGTTGAACAATTTTCGTTCAATTTTCACAATCAAAGTGTCATTGCAAAGCTCTATATTTCAGTTATTTCAAGGTGTAATTTCTGTTTTCTAAGTCTGATACTTTTTAAAAACACTTATTTTAGGATACGTCAAAAACCTAAAAATTTTAAAAAGATGACATTTTTTTGGCCCAGATGGGTTAGATCAAATATTTTTAATAAAAAAACGAGTTGTGGAATGTGGAATGTAGAATGTACCGATTGATTTTCAAAGAAGAAATATTAGAAATATAGAATTAGGCCTAGAAAGAAAAAATGTACACCTTGAAATAACTGAAATATAGAGCATTCCAATAAAACCTTGATTGTGACAAATATTCTCTCATCAGCGCTTAATATACCCCTACTGCAAAGTTTTTTTGGGGACAACCTGTATTTATTAATTATCCAGCCAATAAAAAGTTATTGAAAAAAGCTGTTTTGCAAAGTTCTTGTGTTCTTGTTTTCATCTTTTATTCAATAAAAATAGCGAAGCCTATGAGATTGTTTTAAACAATAAAAGTTTCGGAATGCGGGTTATAATGCGAGAAAAGTTAATTGCAGTTGCGTATACTTTGCGTACATATTGAAACCAGTTCTCTCCGGGCGGAATTTGTAAACAAGAATAGATGCTTCAGTGTTCGTTTAGTATCCGAGGAGGTTAAAAGCATTCAATTTTGAAATTTTTGATAATTAGCATAATAGTTTCCTATGACCAGAATATTTCATTGATATTTTATGTGAAAGATGGATCCTTTGTCAGGCTTCGACATCCTTCTTGTATTTACATTACCGCCCAGAGACAGTACACTGCAGTACAAAAGATGCGCACACCTCTGAATCCATTTCAACCCTTTTAAAGAACAATACATAACATGTTCTAAAAGAGAATAGAATATATATTATAGTGGAGTTTAATAGAAAGAAGTGTAAAACGGCCATTTTGTTGTACTGTTTCCATACTGCAGGTGTACTTCACATATTTGTGCTATATAACATTTTGGGCCCTGGAGCATCATTTTATAGAAAATCTTAAATTATTGTTAAAAGAAAACCAAATTATGAAATAGGCTCGTTTCATAATTGACCAATGATCATTTCACATAGACTCTATGCCTTCCACTGTACAAACGATGATTTTCCGTTATAACTATAAATCAAATGATGTTTTTATTCACCTAATTCATTATAAAGTTTATTTAACAGCTTTAAAAATTTCGAAATTGAAATGGATAGTCTAGGGAACATTCTGTATGAATGTACTCTACTGCATATAATTTGTGAACATTTACATGATTTGTACACTTTGAACTCCCTTTCAAGCTGAAAGGGACTGACAAAATGCATACCGAGGGATTGTCTAAATTCGGCTCTAATATATATTTTATTCTCTTTGCCTGTTCTACCTTAGGAGTTGGGGGTAGTGAGGCATCTATGAAGGGTATTGAAAGTTCATCATACAACGGAGTTTTCCGGTCAACATAGTCAATAGGGTCTTCCAGGCTATCCAAACTGTTCTTCTTCTCAGGTAACCGTCTACATAGAGTAATATATTCATATGAAGTTGTAATCTCTGTTTATCTGTCTGTCTGGGTGTGTGTTTGTTTATTTGTACGATCATAACTCAGGAACTCTTTTGGCGGAACTCGGGAGTTATGATCGGACAAAAAACAAACAAACAGACAAATAGAGATTACAACTTTATATATACAAATACAGGGTTACCAACAAAGGATAATACTGTAAAGACGACACAAAACTCTGTAAAATTTTGGTTTCTGCATTCAATAACGTATTTTGATAGTTGATTAAGGACAGAAATAAACCAGCTTTGGCCTACAAGGAACCCTGAATGCATGAAAACGTACAAAACAAATTCCGTACATTCGTCTATCCTTTCTGGGTAACCCTGTATATAGATGAATAGATTGATAAGTGGAGTGCAGAATACTTAACTTGTCTCTAAACAAAATAAAGACTGTCTCGAGCAAAATATTCTATAAACATTAAACACATCATCTACTATACAACTATCTTTCTATTTATCAGTGTATTTCTAACTATCAGTGTATCTACCTATCTTTCTATTTATCAGTGTATTTCTACATATCTTTCTTTTTATCAGTGAATTTCTACATATTTTTCTATTTACCAGTGTATTTCTACCTATCTTTCTATTTACCAGTGTATTTTTACATATCTTTCTGTTTACCAGTGTATTTCTACATATCTTTCTATTTATCAGTGTATTTCTACATATCTTTCTATTTACCAGTGTATTTCTACATCTTTCTATTTATCAGTGTATCTACATATCTTTCTATTTATCAGTGTATCTACCTATCTTTCTATTTATCAATGTATCTACATATCTTTTATTTATCAGTGTATCTACCTATCTTTCTATTTATCAGTGTATCTACCTATCTTTTATTTATCAGTGTATCTACATATCTTTCTATTTATCAGTGTATTTCTACATATCTTTCTATTTATCAGTTTATCTACAAATCTTTCTATTTATTAGTGTATCTACCTATCTTTCTATTTATCAGTGTATCTACCTATCTTTCTAGTTATCAGTGTATATACATATCTTTTATTTATCAGTGTATCTACCTATCTTTCTATTTATCAGTGTATCTACCTATCTTTCTATTTATCAGTGTATCTACATTTCTTTCTATTTATCAGTGTATCTACATATCTTTCTATTTATCAGTGTATCTACCTATCTTTCTATTTATCAGTGTATTTCTACATCTTTCTATTTACCAGTGTATCTACATATCTTTCTATTTACCAGTGTATCTACATATCTTTTATTTATCAGTGTATCTACATATCTTTCTATTTATCAGTGTATCTACATATCTTTTATTTATCAGTGTATCTACCTATCTTTCTATCTATCAGTGTATCTACCTATCTTTCTATCTATCAGTGTATCTACCTATCTTTCTATTTATCAGTGTATCTACCTATCTTTCTATTTATCAGTGTATCTACCTATCTTTCTATTTATCAGTGTATATCTACCTATCTTTCTATTTATCAGTGTATCTACCTATCTTTCTTTTTATCAGTGTATCTACCTATCTTTCAAAAATAAACAGATAGCATTGCAAAGACAGAAGAAGAAAGGATGGGCTAAATAGATCAATAGTAAAGAGGCAAGGGTAATAGGGAGAACTTCAACTTAAAAAAAATGCACTTATATTTGAGACCCCCTGTCACTGTGTCCCAATAAATACAGTCTTGGGACCTGTAAAGTCAACAGGCAAGAAAAAGGGTTTATCAGCTAAAACCTATTTATGTGAATGAATAAATCATGTTGAGGAATAAAGGAAAGTAAAAAAAGATAACATGAACTAATATTCGGGACCCCCTGTGTCTAATTGATACAGCCTTGGGACCAAATATGTAGAATAACAAGTATTTGAACTAATTTTAAAGAAGAGCTGTAATGATTAAAAAAATGTTTTTAATTTTAAAATATGGAACCGAATAAATTTCCTTTTCTAATACTTGTACGCAAAATCAAAATCAAAACTAGAGGAGCTCCGAGGTCACAAAGTCGTACCAATGATGTTGCATAAATGTTACCTTCTACATCTGTTAAGACGCCTATACCTGTTCCTACAGCAGCAACAGCAGATACAGATAAGAATGATAACTAGGAGAAGTATAACAGCGACCAGGACGATGATGATGATGATGGTCAGGGAGAGGGTAGATGAGGGTTCCTGTAAAATTTGTTAAAATTTACTTTATTTTATTTTATAAAATAATATATTAAGAACTAGCTGAAGTGCCCGGCGTTTCCCAGTTTGAGAAAATCTTAAATTATTGTTAAAAGAAAACCAAATTATGAAATAGGCTCGTTTCATAATTGACCAATGATCATTTCACATAGACTCTATGCCTTCCACTGTACAAACGATGTTTTCAATTTTTAAAACCAAGCAAAAAACATTCCCAAGGTTCCATCGAATTCCCCAATCGATATTTGAGGCAAATCTACCAAAGGCTAGATAAGTTGTAATCGTACAAAAAGAAAAATACAGACAAACACTAGTTACTACTTTATATATACAGAAGACATCCTTAGAAACTATTCACCATAAACAAGATAAAGAAAAATTCGGAACTATAGTACAGTAGTCGTCGCATATATTAATACAATGAAGACGACTTTTGATTTTAATTTTGATTTATATCAAGATGTTAAACTATATGGATACACATAAACTTAGAAGTCAAAAGAAGCTATCAATAAAAAAGCTTCTTTTTGATTAATTGCAAAATTTTAATTCACTAAAAGTTTGTTGATAATCAAAATTTAAATAAAAAAGTCGTCTTCATTGAATTAATATAATCACCTACCACAGTACAAGCATAGTTACCTGCTCTTTAATGATTGCAGATCTACCAACTAAATATTGATCTCCAGGGTACAATGAGAGAACCCAGATTACAGCTTTTACTGAGGAACTAGCCTCGTATAGTCCTTGTATGTCCACCATACTTTCTGCACAATAAAAGGTCAAGAAAAAAATAAATTTTTCAGGTTTTTCAAGTGGCCCTGCTTGCAAACATAGGAAAAAATTGTTCTTGCCAAAAGCTGTAATTTATTATGTTTTATTATGCTTTAATATTCGTTATTCTACTAGATTTTAGTATAATCACTTTTAACACATTTCAAATCAAACTTTTTTAAGTTGAAAGTTTGAAGATCTCACGATGAAACTTTATATTAAACTCAAACTTCATTCTAAAAAGTAAAATCTTGATTCCTTTTCCTAAATATTGCTCAATATCTTGATTACAGTCTCCTTGAACTACTGCAAGCTGTAGATCTGAGTCCTCAGGTAGTCCTTCTAGTAGTCCTTCAACCTGAAGAGCATCTTCAGGAGTAGTCTGAGAAAACACCAACTCACCTAATCATTCATGTCTATTAATTAATCATTCATGTCTATTAATTGATCATTCATGTCAATTAATTAATTATTCATGTCTATTAATTAATCATTCATGTCTTTTATTTAATCATTCACGTCTATTAATCAATAATCAATGTCTTTTATTCAATCATTCACGTCTATTAATTAATCATTCATGTCTTTTATTCAATCATTCACGTCTATTAATTAATCATTAATGTCTATTAATTAATAATCAATGTCTTTTATTTAATCATTCATGTCAATTAATTAATAATCAATGTCTATTAATTATTTAATCATTCATGTCAATTAATTAATAATCAATGTCTATTAATTAATCATTAATGTCTATTAATTAATAATCAATGTCTTTTATTTAATCATTCATGTCAATTAATTAATAATCAATGTCTATTAATTAATCATTCATGTCTATTAATAATCATTCATGTCAATTAATTAATAATTAATGTCTTTAATTTAATCATTAATGTCTATTAATTAATCATTAATGTCTATTGATTAATCATTCATGTCTTTTAATAGACCATTCACGTCTATTAATTAATTATTCATGTCTATTAATTAATTATTCATTTTTATTAATTAATCATTTTTTCTATTAATTAATTATTCATGCCTATTGATTAATCATTAATGTCTAATAATTAATCATTAATGTCTATTAATTAATCATTAATGTCTTTAATTAATAATTCATGTCTATTAGTTAATTATTCATGTCTATTAATTAATTATTCATGTCTATTAATTAATCATTTATGTCTATTGATTTATTAATCATGTCTATCATTTTTTTATTTATGTCTATTGATTAATCATTCATGTCTATCAATTAATCATTTTTGTCTTCTATAAATACACTTTGTTTGTGACCGGGAAAACGGCTGAACCGATCGGCACATCACATGACCCCAGAAAATAAATGCTCAGAATTACAAAAAATTGTCTCCAAAAGCTTTAAATTTCGTAGATTTTTTAAATCCATGAAAAAATTGTAAATCCGCAAAACTTAAAATTTTGTTTTATCGAAGATAAAACGAATTCGCGAATTAAAAGTTGAAATAGAAGATGTGCGCAAAGCACAAAAAAAGCCTTGCTTAATTAAAAACAAGAACATTAATACTTAGAAGAAATCATTAATAGAGTTTTTACATATCATAAAGTTGCAATTTTTACATATTTTAAGAATCATTCCGCGTTCCTCTACATTACATATTTTAAGTTCCTCTACCGCTTTATTGAATGTAAATTCAAATATAAGCAGCATGCAGGCTGAAACCCGCTGTACGACCAGACGGGACGGTACAAACTAGGAATGCAAAGGTTGGCCCAGCTCGGATATCAAATGTACGTTAGTTGTGCGTGAGTAATTACTGAAGTGTAGGTTTACCTGAAAACTCCTTGAAAGAAACTGATACAGATTTAGGCTTAGGGGGTTCAGATTCAGTATCAGCTAAACAAAACATATTTAATAAAATAAATAGAATAAAAATCTGAACGGAAAAGATGATAATTTGTGTTGGATGATACTAGAATAATTTTTTTTAAACTTTGGGTAATGGTGGCGATGGCAAAAAAAAAGTCGGGATTGATTTTTTGTCAGTCAAAGAGTAAATTGTTCATTATCCATCATTTTTCTTGGGGGGGAGAATTCTTGATTTTTCTAATAGAAAATAATTGAGAGTATTCTTTTATCATATTTGTTCTGAGTTGTGCGAAGAGCGCAAAACGTTTTTAACACGTTTTTATGCTGCATTAAAACCATAGAGAATAGAATATATATATAGAGAAGAATTTACTAGAAAAAAGTGTAAAACGGCCATTTTGTTGTACTGTTTCCATACTGCAGGTGTACTTTACATATTTATGCTATATAACCTGTTGGGCCTTGGAATATCATTTTATAGAAACTAAAATTATTGTTAAAAGAAAACCAAATTATGAAATAGGCTTGTTTCATAATTGACCAATGATCATTTCACATAGACTCTATGCCTTCCACTGTACAAACGATGATTTTCCGTTATAACTATAAATCAAATGATGTTTTTATCCACCTAATTCATTATAAAGTTTATTTAACAGCTTTAAAAATTTCGAAATTGAAATGAATAGTCTAGGGAACATACTGTATTAATGTACTCTACTGCTTATAATTTGTGAACATTTACATGATTTGTACACTTTGAACTCCTTTTCAGGCTGAAAGGAACTGAAAAAATTCATACCGAGAGATTCTTTTAATTCCTCTCTATATATTCTATTCTCTATGATTACAACTATTAGGGAAATTATTTATAAAATACTCTTTGATTTTAGATAAAGTTATAAAGAGCACCAACTCTTCCCTTCCCTATATTACCCCCTCCTTCTTTTCTTTATTTGCCAACCTTCCATCTATTCTCTACCTTTCCCTTCCCTTCGTTCCTTTCCCTTCCTACCCTACCTTCCTTTTTCCTACTTCTCCTTTACTCTTCCAATCTCCTTCCCTACTTATCTCCTTCCTTATCTATCCCCTTCCCTCCCTTACCCCTCCCTACTTTTCCCTTTTCCCCATCCTTCAATTTCTTCCACTATTACCCTTCCCCTTTTTCTTTACTTTTCTCTTGCCCTTTTTCATTTCATTTTCCTCCTCCCTTTTACCCTTTTGTTTCCCCTTTTTGCCCTTTCCTTTTCCCTTTTCCTTCCCCTTTTCCTTCCCCTTTTCCTTCCCCTTTTCCTTCCCTTTTTCCTTCCCTTCCCCTTTCCCTTCCCCTTCCCTTTTTCCTTCTCTTCCCCACCTCTGGGTCTTTGATTTTTTTAGTGATTGTTTTCCTATGAACCATAAAATGATTTCAAATTTTGTTTACTTCAATTTCAATATTATTCACCTTAAATATGATTCCTGCAAACATTTTTATATTTTTATATTTCTATATTTTTATAGTGGTTTTTAAAACAACGTTTATCACCATTTTTTACTCACCCTGTAGTTGAGCTTACCTGTATAAAAAAATGTAAAATAATGTGAACTACCTGCAGAAACAGGGTCACATGTCGACATGTCGCACTGTCCCCATCTATTGTCGACAAGTTCCCCAGCATCATTCACTTCTAGGGCACACCATGGGAACGGTGTATCACCGTCTGTTGTGCATTCCCTACATTTTTAAATTAAATATTATTATTATTATTATTATTATTATTATTATTATTATTATATCTTATTATATTATTTTTTTAAACATTAACAATATAATTAAGGTTTAAAACTGTTTTATACCAAGTAGTATGGAATTCAATACACCCTGTTTCATACCAAGTAGTATGGAATTAAATACTCCCTGTTTTAAAGTCTTTGCATGATAACTAAAACAACTTTTTACCTGTATTCTCGACCCTCCCAAATGAAAGGGAAAATACACGGACTCTTCTTAGTTTTACAGAAAACAGCCATCACAGCATCCTCACTTGTAGAGTTAAACACAACGGGACCTGGAAATAATTTGTAATAGCAAAGCATTAAAAGCAATACAGATAGAACACTAGATATCGTCTTTTCAAGATTTAGGGTTTTTTGTTCACAATAGCCTTGAGGCAGAAGCCAAAACCTTCGCATGCTCTCTCTCTGTCTTGTCATTCAACGCGGCATGCGCGTAACTTCTCTGGGCGTCTGCCTCAGGGTTATTATGGACGAAAACCTCTAAATCTGGAAAAGACGACATCTAGTGAGCTGGATGATGTAAAACTTTGATATTTCAAACTAAAATTATTTCGATCTAACAGAACTCATAGTTTGAAAAAAAGGTCTAAGACATTAAGTTCCAAAGATGTAGGATTAAGAAAATTTTAGTTTGTGGCAAAAACTAAGTTCCTTTGTATGCTTTGCCCACATGCATCTGTTTAATTTTGATAGCTGTCCAGTTTGATTATAATTTTTATTATTTATTATTCCTTGCTCAATTGCTATTAATTCCGACTTTTCTAACTCAAGCTTTTGGAAAACTGTCACTTGAAAATTTGCCTTCTGGAAAATGCTTTCAGAAGACTTTTTTAAAGGGAGTGACCGGCTATGTAAGGTAGTTGAACAGTGTTGTGGAAAACTTTCCACAACACTGCAAACTCAGTTCAACTACCTTACATAGCCGGTCACTCCCTTCAATGAAACTTGAAATATTAGTTAAAATTAAGTACAAAAATTATATAAAAACTCTACACGTTAAATTTAAGTCTTATATATTATTTGTTTTTAATCATATAGTTAGTCCTTTTGAAAAGCTGTTTGGAAGAACTTAAATATTTTGAATTTTTTATGTGTGAAAGGAAAAATTATCTTTTTTCCTTTTTGTGCGTAAAATCGAAACTAGAAGAACTAAGAGGTTACACACTCCTACCCGTAGTGTCGCATAACTTTGACTTTCGCCTTTTGTCTAGTGTGTTGTGAGATACAGGGTGTCCCACGAAACATGAAAGTTGTTGAATATTTCTTCCCTATATTGTATTGGATATTAAAGACTTTTTGCAGTTTATTTTGTTAAAAAAAACATCTTTTCTTCAAACTTACTTTACTATAATATGATTGTCATATAATATTTTTTATCATACTCTTTAGTATCAAGAATTACACAACTTAACTTATTATGGAAGACGACATTTTAAACTATTCACCAACTGTCATGTTTCGTGGGACACTTTAGAGTTAAATACAAAAATTATAAAAATATTAAATCAAATAAATTGCGGCTACTTACTTCCGTCCTCCTCAAAACATCCTCCATTACAAACTCCTGTCACATACTTCTCCCCTAGCTGAGTTATGCAGTAGTGTCTAAATAAAGTTTTAATTATTTAAAAATTTAAATTCATATGCTTGAATAATAGATAATTAGAATTTCGTTAAAATTTTTAATTTTATTAGATACTAGTTGAAGTGCCCGGCGTTGCCCATGGAATTTTAGAAACACTTGAAATTTTTAAGAATATATTTCCCCCGCACTGTGATTTAAAGGTTCCACGCTCTCAAACAAAAATCGATAAGAGTTTGGCCTATAACTTCTTAAATTTCAAAGCAAACAACAAGTGCTATATAGGGCTAAAATGTAAATAGAAGGGATACAGAAAAGCATAAGTGAGTTAGTTGCATCACTTCAAAGTCGACCCTGACTTAAAAATTGATGAGACTGTTTGTAAGAAGGCTGAATTTATGTGGGCCCGGGGTACTCAAGGGTTACCTCAAAAAGGGTTGGGCAGCTATAGCAAACATATAAATATAGAAAAACTAATATTGTCGACATTGGAACAAAATTCTTTACATCTCCAGTAATATTGAAAGCACATTATGGGAATTTTGGAGCCTACCTGTCAGAGTTCTTCCCTGGCATACCAGACCTAACCTGCCTGTCAGAGTTCTTCCCTGGCATGCACTCATAACAGACCTAGCCTATCCGTCAGAGTTCATCTCCCTTGGCATACACTCATATACCAGACCTAGTCTACCTGTCAGAGTTCTCCTCCCCTGGCATACACTCCTATACCAGACCTAGTTTATCTACCAGAGTTCTCCTCCCCTGGCATACACTCATATACCAGACCTAGTTTATCTACCAGAGTTCTCCTCCCCTGGCATACACTCATATACCAGACCTAGCCTACCTGTCAAAGTTCTACTCCCCTGGCATACACTCATATACCAGACCTAGTCTACCTGTCAGAGTTCTCCTCCCCTGGCATACCAGACCTAGTCTACCTGTCAGAGTTCTCCTCCCCTGGCATACACTCATATACCAGACCTAACTTATCTACCAGAGTTCTCCTCCCTTGGCATACACTCATATAACAGACCTAGTTTATCTACCAGAGTTCTCCTTCCCTGGCATGCACTCATACCAGACCTAGCCTACCTATCAGAGTTCTCCTCCCCTGGCATGCACTCATATACCAGACCTAGCCTACCTGTCAGAGTTCTCCTCCCCTGGCATGCACTCATACCAGACCTCACCCTCCCGCTGGAAAGGAAAATCACAGCGATGAGATTCTATCATGCACTCACCTATAATATTTCAAATATATAAATAAACAAGGTTTTCTAATCGGAATTCCGCTGAACAGAATTTCTTGGCGGAATTGCGTGGAGTTAAATGGCTCGCAATTGCAAGTAAACTGCACTTGGATTAAACCCCTAAAATAAACTGAAAGATACATAACTACGTTTATTGTTTTGTAGTTCTAGACATGTACGTTTTAGAACTTACGCGAACTTGTTTCATGTTTGTATAGTTTTATTTAACAAGAAAGAAGATGGCAAATTCCTAATAGATTTTTCCTGATTTTTCTTACTTATTGATAACTAGCTGAAGTTCCCGGAGTAGCCCGTGAAATAAAATAAATAAATAGAAAAAATATCTTGAAAAAATCTGTTTTGANTTCCCTAAAAAAATGTCAGCCAATTTGGTCCAGCCGTTTGGCGAGCTAGCTATAGCTGACATTATAAATAATATCAGCAAACAGCATTATTATACAGATTTTGAATTCTTTTGTTATTTCTGAGCTCAGCTCCAAATTCATTATGCGGTGTGTGTGTGCGATGTGGAAATTAACCGGTATTCTTATTTTATTGTATTAGTAGATATATAAAACAGTATGTTTCATGCAATAAGCAAAATGTAAATTTCTTATTTTGATGATAAAGTTGGTGCTAAAATTATTTCCCTCTGAAGGGCCGGGGCAGGTTGAGAAGGTATGTCCTTGCACATGGTAATTTTGAATGATTTATATTATGTATGCAGAAGTAAATACATTTCTAGCGTGTAAATAATCCATAATGAGGATTACATATACGTTATGCGTATACAAAACTATCCGTTTACATTCTAAAATATATTCAAATATATTAGAGTAAAGTTTCCCCAACATGTTCTGTGTTTGTTAGTGTCTGTTGATGAATGTTAGTTATTACCTCGGAAAGCATACATTACATATATCTATTCAAGGGGAATAGATAGTAAATACATCTAACAAGTGTAGTTCATTCAAAACGAATTTGATAAATGACAAAGTAACGCTTTTTGCCATAAATTCAATTTTTATCTTAACAACCTGATGGTGTAAACTTTGATTTAATTTAAACTTAAACTTTTTGATTTAACAGAATTCATAGTTTGAATCAGCGGGTTGCAAAGATATAAGGTTTTTATCAATTAGATTATGTGGCAAATACTCATTTCCTTTGAATGTTTTGTACTGCAAAGTGCACTAAAGTGTAACAGTTTAAATTGGGGTGTGTTTACGAAGTGTGTACACGTATGGAATTTTTTCGGATACGAGCAGACTGAATTTCAGAAAGGCCAATAGGGGTGCAGGGGGTGGAGGGTGGCCGTTAAGGAGGGGGGGGGGAGGGAAAGGAGTGGTGTGTTTAGTGACTAGGATAAGGTAAGAGGGTCAAGTATAAGATATATAAGATATATATATATAGAGACTTTAGGGGAAGTTCACACAGGGAGAAACTGTTTAAAACATCAGATACAAAATATTTGCTGGCGCGAATGGCAGAGCTCGAAACTTAAAACAGAGTATTCGTAATGAAATCCAGTTTCGGAAGTCCGGTTTCATGAACGAGGTCAGGCAGTTTTAAAGATACCAATATTTTTGTTGGTAAATATTATTTCATGCCTAGTCCCTTCACATTCTCTTTTGGTTTCTAATTTCTTAAATTGAAATCTACGCAAATTTATAAACCCCAAATAGGAAACTAGGGAGTTTCGTTCAACAATACTATCTTAAGTTTCCGGCTCAGAGAGTAAAGGGGTCAGTATAAGGGGATATCGTATGGCCTTTATCTCCAAAAAACATAAACAAAAAGTAAACCTTTAATTTATAAAGATGCGTTGTTTAAAACAAAAAGTAAATTAAGTTTTTAAAAAGTGTTCATATACTTTCTTAAGCAGCAAAATTTGAGAGAAACGTGTAAATTGCGGCCAAATTATTAAAAACATTTCATGATTAAAATCTGTATTGTTATACATTAAGATTTTGAAATGTTAACCTCAAATTCACGGATTGTGAACATTCATTCAATCGTCTAAATATCTAAACATGCATTTTTACTCGCCAAAATCTTATTTGTTTTAGTAAAATTCGCTCCGACAAATCTGCTAGGGGGGGGGGGCGAACTTACTTCACCTCCCCCCCTTCCTTGGCTCTATTGATTATGTATTTTCATCCAATCTTATAACAAATAGAAAGAAGAGAAAAAAAAACATTTTTATTTGGCGCTTCGCGAATAATTCCTACCAAAAATGTGCTTTCCTTTTTTCTATGAAAATGGTAATCAAGTGCAATTATGATAATCTTTAGGATTGAATAGACTTACAATATAGCTACAGTTGACAAAAAGGACTAGTCTCTACAGTATAGAGACTATAAAAAAAATATTTTTATTATATTGAAGGGGGAAATAAGGCCCAGAAATGGAGGAAAAGGGGTATTTAACATGAGGGATATATTTTTTACCTTGTGCAAATATTAAAAATTACTTAGATAGTTTCTCTGAGTCAGTAGACTTTAAAAAGTAAAAATAATATAGTATGCTTTATGTAGAATAAAAAAAATTGTTGTAAATCAAACCTATACAAACCTAATAAAACTGAAAAGCTGCATTTTTTAACTTTAAACCATTCAAACGCAACGTTCGTAAAAAAAGGCGATGCCCCCCATATCCCCTGCACAGTTGCACGTCTGTAACTCTGTAAGAGTGACAAAAAAATCTTATTAGACTTTTTAAGCCTGAAAGTTGTGTGTTATGCGTTATCTGTAGGTATGAAAAAAAATATTATTCTTTAATTAAAAGTTTAAAATAAATCATTCCCTATTTCTTTTCAAGATTAAATCCCCCCCCCCCATCTCTACTGCCCCCTTCCCTGCCCCATCCCGCCCTATCAGACCACCCCTTTAAACCACACGACCCCTGGTATTCTCCCTCTTCTCTGAGGGGAAAGTATTGGTAAACCATAATTCCTTGTCTGACCTGAATATAGGAACAATATACAATAAAACTATATTTTTCCTAGAAACCTTACATAAGCAGGACAATCCGTCCTCATCCTATATAAACAGGACAATCCGTCCTCATCCTATATAAACAGGACAATCCGTCCTCATCCTATATAAGCAGGACAATCCGTCCTTATCCTATATAAGCAGGACAATCCGTCCTCATCCTATATAAGCAGGACAATCCGTCCTTATCCTATATAAGCAGGACAATCCGTCCTCATCCTATATAAACAGGACAATCCGTCCTCATCCTATATAAACAGGACAATCCGTCCTCATCCTATATAAACAGGACAATCCGTCCTTATCCTAAATAAGCAGTACAATCCTTTCTCATCCTATATAAACAGGACAATCCGTCCTCATCCTATATCGCAGGACAATCTGTCCTTATCCTATATAAGCAGGACAATCCGTTCTTATCCTATATAAGCAGTACAATCCTTTCTCATCCTATATAAACAGGACAATCCGTCCTCATCCTATATAAGCAGGACAATCCGTCCTTATCCTATATAAGCAGGACAATCCGTTCTTATCCTATATAAACAGGACAATCCGTTCTTATCCTATATAAGCAGGACAATCCGTCCTTATCCTATATAAGCAGGACAATCCGTCCTCATCTGATATAAACAGGACAATCCGCCCTCATCCTATATAAACAGGACACTCCGTCCTCATCCTATATAAGCAGGACAATCCGTCCTTATCCTATATTAGCAGGACAATCCGTCCTTATCCTATATTAGCAGGACAATCCGTCCTCATCCTATCTAAGCAGGACAAGCCGTCCTTATCCTATATTAGCATGACAATCCGTTCTCATCCTATATAAACAGGGCAATCCGTCCTCATCCTATATAAGCAGGACAATCCGTCCTCATCCTATATAAGCAGGACAATCCGTCCTCATCTGATATAAAAACAGGACAATCCTAGATTAGCAATCCGTCCTCGTCCTACGTATATTGGCGGGATGGATAGTGAATGTATGATTTATTTGAAAGATTTGATTTGTGAACTCGGGAATGTTATTAGCTTGGTTTTGAGATTCTAAATTGATTGGGTCCAAAAATAGCTAAAATCGTGATTTACGACCAAACGCGAGTAAACGGCGGGAGTAACTATGAGTACCCTGGACAACGCTGGGTTCTACATAAAAGCATTGAAGATGGAAGTGATTAACTAGAAAGAAAGAGAAAAAACCTGGAACATGCAATATTTGTTCTCTTCCTTGAAAGAGTTTGTTTACATACAAGTCTACAAAGTATAAACAGAAAATCTAATTGCTTAAAATCAATGTAAACATGGCATTATAAAAAATTTAACCAAAAAACGCATTTCATAGCATCATGGTGTATTTTAACAATTTTTAGCCTCTCCCGTTATAAAAATGGGTAAAATGATTTTCACCCATTTGGTCTGAAACTCATCATACGGGAGTTGCAAAAAAAATTGGAAATATTGTTTTTTCCAATTTCGTGTGTTTCTGTGATTTTGTTTTTACACACATTTATTTTATAAACATACTAGGCCTTTATGGCGCATTGCGCTTATCTTCTTTTTCAACTTTTAATTGTGGCGTAATCTGTCTGTGAGCATCTTCTCTTTGTACAGTATACAATTTTTTTTTATTTGCGGATTTCATAATATTTTTTCGCGCATTTTCAAAATTTTACAAAATTAAATAATTTAAGATAAAAATATTTAAAGATTACATATTTAGAGTCTGATTGGCCATAAACCTTCCCTGGGGCCACGTGAGGTCCCACAAAAAATTTGGGCCCGATTAGTTCAGCCGTTTTGACGTTTATTGGATACAAACAAACAAACAGACACCCAGACAAGCTAAATTTATATATACATTAGGCTTTTAGGCGCCCATCTTCTAGTTCAACTTTTAATTGTGGCTTTATCTCTGAACATCTTCTCTTTGTACAGTATAAAACAAGAACAAAAAAAGTTTGCGGATTTCATAATATTTTTTTGCGCATTTTCAAAATTTTTCAAAAAAAAACTTTTAAACACAAATTTTTAAAATTTTGACCATTCATAAACCTTCCCTGGGGTCACGTGAGGTCCCACTAAAAATTTGGGCCCGATCGGTTCAGCCGTTTTGACGTTTATTGGACACAAACAAACAGACAGACAAGCCAAATTTATATATAGATTTCAGAACCCTTAAAGTTACTGTAAGCGTAATTTCAAGTTCCCCTCAATGGAAAGATGGCAATGTTCGATTTACAACGGTACTCTTGAAACCTTAATCTGATAAAAATGTGAAAGATATGTTTCTGACTCTAAAAAAAGTTATTTCTGTGAGATCCTCCATTGCTTCTTATGAACGAGAAATGCGCAAGGCACTTTCGCAGAGAATCCGCAAATGAAAATAAATGTTTAAAGAAACAAAATAAACAATGATGTCTAATTCATAGTTGATTAGACATAGGTTTCAAGGGTAAATCATTGCATGGAGGGTCACTTGAAATTTCGCTTACATTTCTTTTAATAGTCTCAACAGCAAACTTACAATCACAAATAAACTAAATATACCAAAACTATTGCTGGCTCTATCATGACCATGCAAAGAATTGACTAATGACTATCCATGTTTAAATGCAAATATATGACTTTTCTTTCATTCAAAGTTTTATGACAATGGTTAAAGATATATATCTTATTGAGGATGACTGAAATACACTATAATAACCCAACATTTTCAACACAAAGGAAATGAGTCGTTACAACAAAATTTTCTAATCACTATATCTTCGAAACCTGATGGTGTAAACCATAAGATATTTCAAACTTTGATTATTTGATCCAACAGAATTCATATAGCTTGAAATATTTAAAGTATTTACGACATTGGGTTCAGCAAATATAGAGCTGGGTTAGAAAATCAAAGTATGTGGCAAAGTTTCAAATCCTTTATATTTTTTCACTTTTGAATCTTGAAAAAAACATTGAAAATATTATTTTCATTCATTTTAAAGATTAAATGAAATATAGAATAGTTTGAAATAAAAAGAGAGTAATTACCAGCAACATAGGCAATGAACAGGGCAAAATAAGCAAGTTTTCTTAAGCTCAGCATGGTTTCGATGTAAGATCCACTTCACCCTTAAATATAGTTAGATCACCCTGAAAACATATTTCACTAGTTGCTTTAAACGTCTAGGCCACTCCTGCACTAAACTAAATTAACCGGTTCCGGTTCTAGGCGAGGGAGGAGTAGTGACGTAATAGATACCTGTCACTGTCGGCCTGGATGCCTTAGATTTAAGATTTCGGCTTGAACTACTTAATCATGTACCGGACTGATTGGGGGTTGTCTTTCTTCGCCTGACTACCGTACCGTTCCGACCTCATACAATTTGTCCCGTACCGACCCGACTTTACTTTCTCTACGAATGCCCTTTTGATACACACAAATCAAAGTATACTAGTACTGGCTTGAACAGAGATATTCGCGTGTGAATCAAGGACATGACGGCAAGCATACGGCGAGCCACATAATTTTTGCATCCGAGCCACCAAAAGCGTTCAAGGTGGGAGACATGGGGTCACGGGAAAAGTAGTAGCTTCTAAACATAAAGAATAGAATATATTAGAGGGGAATTTACTAGAAAAAAGTGTAAAACGGCCATTAATTGTTGTACTGTTTCCATACTGCAGGTGTACTTTGACATATATTTATGCTATATAACCTTTTGGGCCCTGGAATATAACTTTATAGAATATCTAAAATTATTGAAACAAAAAATTCTAAAAAGTAGTAATTCTCAAAATAGGAACAAAACTCTGAAAAATAAAGGATTTAGGTTCTAGGTACACAGTGTTAAAAATAGGAACAAAAAGGAGAGCATTAAGCAAAAAGCATTGCGCCAAAAAATCCATTCACGTGTACGTGAATTAGGAACAATAGTCAATAATAGGAGCATAAAGCAAGTTAAGAACAAAAAGAAATTAACATTTTTACATTTTTATTTTTAAATTTTAAATTTTTTACAATGTTCTTTTAATATGTTATATGATATCAGATGTAAATATTTTGACTTTTCTACATTTCTTGTTCTTAATTTTCTTCTTGTTTGTACATCTTTCAATTATATTTCGGCTAATTTTGAAGAACATTTTTTTTGACATCCTGATGATTAATCTGGAAGATACAAGATTGCCAAAAGTTGTTAGTAAAAAAATCTTTTAAACGGTGGTAAATTGTAAAAGATTTTTCTAAGTAAAACACATATATTTCCTTTTTTAAATAAAAAGCCTACCCCAAACCATTTCAGAAATAAAATCAGAAGTATACATATCGTTCTTTACTAATGGAAGAACTATAAAGAGTAAAAACGTAAAATAGCATTAATAGCATAATTTTTAAAAATCCACATATGAAAAGAGAAAAATCTGAATCATCTTTTTGTTATTTTTTCAAATTATACGTTTTAGGCAATTGCAGAATGCAACACAAAGCTTCGGTGAAATATCGTTTGCACCGGACTAATTCGTACATTCGTATCTAACGTTCATTCTTTCTTTAATTAGTGCAAATGAAACACTTTATTGTGCATTCAAAATAAAATCCGCGTGAAAAGTTATTCAGCACGTGAAGAACTATATTTTTAAATTCTAGCGGAATTCGGCTCATTTAGTTAATTAGCTCTATTGAACATATTTTCTAGGAATAAACAAAAATGTCCAATTGACTAAAGCTAAAATTGTGTGGGTAAAATCGAAGTTAGTACAAAAAAACATATTTTGAACAAAAAAATTTTCAGTCAAATTAAGATTACAAATATCTAGCCCAAAAATTATAATTGAACTTATTTCGGAACAAATGAACATCAAAATGTTCAATCGAACTAAAATTACTAAATTTCACCATCAGTGCCCATAATTATAATTAGTCCAATTAAAATTATTTTAGAACAAATGAATAAAAAATGTTCAATCGAACTAAAATCTGAAATTTCCCCATAGATTATTTTTAGTGCAATTGAACTTATAAATTAGGACAATCAAAAAAAATATTCAATCGAACTAAAATCTGAAATTTCACCATTTGGCCCATTTAGTACAATTTAGTCCATTTGAAATTTTTTTTTTTTGGAAAATGTTCATTTGCACTAACGTTTTCGATTGCATTAATATTTACAGAAAAAAACAGTAGTCCATTTGAACAATTTTTTTGTTTAACAATTGTACAATGATCGTTTGTAATAACATATTCATGGCAGGATAATAAAATATTCCTGGTTGAAAATTAAAATTTTAGTCCAATTGAACGCAGTAAAGCTCGATTTGTTTTCATTTGCACTATAGATATCCAATCGTAATACAAACCAGTTTCGGATCAGCTGACTTTGGTACAAATGTATGGAGTTCAATCGGACAATTAGTGCAAACGATATAGCATCTAATTTTCGGTGTTGATGATATCAAAGAACCGCAGAGTAAAATATGGTGTTAATTGACAGTTTCTCTTTGTTTCCATGTTTGCATATCCAATATCCATGCTGTTTGAAAGCTTGGTAAAAATCTAAATTTTAAATTGAAAGTCGTTCTTATTATATTGATATATAGGACGACGACTGCAGTACTCAATTCAGTCATTTTGAATTTAAAATTTAACTGTTGAAATAGTTATGTTTTGATATTTATATTTAATCTTTCATTACTACATTTTTACAATACATGTCGGAATACATTTAAACATTGTAACAATACATTGATTTTCAAATACATTTTTGGTTTCATTCTTGATGAATAACATATATGAATAGAAATGGAATAACCTTGATTAATGAAGTTACCTATTTTAAAACTTTTGATTTAAAATTGAAGCAATTTTGATTTTATAAAGGTACTTAATTAGCGTTTTTGTTTTTAAGATTTAGCTACAGGGTGTCCCAAAAAACATGGGAATTCAGTGACGAATTCGATATCGTCTTTTCAAATAATTCTTTGATTTAGTATAGTGATACCTACTGCAGAAAGCTGAAATCTGTAAGAGTTTCGTCTGCTATATTCACATTTTGTTTGTTTATGTTTTGACTGCATACAGTTGTACTTAGTAAAACAAGAAAATTGCAGTATACAAACTGAGTAAACTTGTCCGTCTTCATTGTTCATCTTGTGGAGAATCTTTACAGTCTTTTACCCTTTTCATAAAATAAACTCTAGCACACATAATAATATTATGGCTTTTGAAATTAGGTATTACAATGTTTATTCATAGCAAAGACGATATACAATTCGTCACTGAATTCCCATGTTTTTTGGGACACCCTGTAGATATAAAGTCTCCGAAATATGAAAATCTTTGGACTTCGGCCTTCATGAATTCTTAAAATTGTAAACTTAAAACTTTAACATGTTTTAATCTTCATGAAACGATGAATGTTTTTCTTTCTCTGTATAGGTACACTAAATGTTACAAAAATATGAAAGTTGTATCATGTTTTAGCTCTCATGAGTACATAAATCATGTTTTAACTTATCAAATATAAACGTTGCCTCATGTTTAAGGCATACTAGTTGTACCATTTTCCAACTAAATAAATATAATTATAAAAGTTTTAACATATTCCAAGTATCATAAATATATAAAGTTGCATCATGTTTTAGTTCTCTATATAAATATTTACATCATTTGCTCCTCTAATTTTGTAAACATAAAATTTGCATCATGTCCCAATGCTATGAATGATATTCTCTTCTCTAACTAAGGCCTCATGTAGTTCGTCTTCACGGCTCACGAGAACAGAAAAATCCTGGAAAACATGAAACTGTTAACTACATTTCCATGTATCAAGCTACATGCCTGATTCACAACAGTACCCTTTAAACCCTTCATCTGAGAAACAATAAGCAAATTAATGGCGATTTTATCTTGTGAAAAAAATTGGTCCTTAAATTCAATTCCTTTAATTTTTCTGCATTTCCCTGCAAGTCACTCTATTTCAGAAATCACAATTGAAAATTTTCGATTTTCAGATAAAAAAACCAAGAATGTTATTTTAGAATCGTTCATGTAACTTTTACGTGGAGCGTTACTTTTAAGGCCTACAGAAAGTTTAAGGAAAATCAAAAAGGAACTTATTAGGCAGAGAAATTAATTAAGTTTCTTTAAAGAAATGATAAATATATATTTTTTACCTGTCCGGTTAATGTGAGGATAAAAAACACATAGCAGAACAGCATTAGAGAAACTAAACAATAAGTTAAAGCAAAATATATTTTTCAAATACTTAAAAATCTTAATGTTACTGAACCACATGCAACAATATTTCGGACAAACTGCTTGCCAAAAAATTCGACACTTTTAACTGAAATCTTTACTAAGGAAAACCGATGGACAAAAATAACAAGAATGGGACCGAGAAGTAGTTCTCGTTTATATCAATACAATAAAGACGACTTTCTTTTTCAATTTTGATTTCTACCAACCTTTCAAATAGCATGGCCACACATATAATCATGGAAACAAAAAACTTCTCTTTGTTTCCTTACTAACTTGCAATTTAAAAAAGTCTTCTTTGTATTGAAATAATCGCCGACTATGCTTCTCTCATAGTCCTTAAATTGGTCCAAGAATTAAAAAGAAAGACTTTAATGCAAACAATATAACATCTTCTTGAACCGATCTAGAAACGAATGCATAAATCATTAAAAGAAAAATAACGATAAACATAGAAACGGTTTTGATTGACATAAAACTTTCAACATGAGTACAGCGAGCGCTGTTTAACATAAATCGATATAAATATTGAAAGAAAAACATAAAAAAAAACCGAGTTTAATCAACCATAAAAAAGATAAAAATTGGTGATGATTGTACTATAATGCAAGCTCATCCAAAATGGCCATCTCCATTTTAAACATTGACTAGCAACGTGTCAAAATCTACTGAAAAAATAACAAATTACAAAAAATTAAGTTTTTTTTGTGTGATTACCTATAAATATTGATGCTAAAACTAGAAAGGTTGCTCCTGGGAAGGTGTCTAGAGATGAATTTCCATATTATTATTATACTAGCTTGGGAACCCAGCTTTGCCCAAGCTACTCAGTTCTTCCCGCCAGTTAACCGCATTTGGTCGTAAAATACGATTTTAGCTATTTTTTTCGACAAAAATCGACCCACTCAACTTAGAATCTCAAAACCAAGCCAAGACATTTCTCCCGAATTCCCAATCAAAATGTGAGGAAAATCGGGGTTTCTGATTATGATCTGACAAATAGACATACAAACAGAGATTACAACTTTATATATAGATATAATAAAATATAATAAAATAAAATATTAAATATATAAACATTTATTTTCAAAAATTACCATAAGTCATAAATGTTCCAAGTTCTTTCTGATCATAAATCGTTTCTGTTTTCTTGTTTTAATGAATTTGTGTTTTATCACATAAAATAAAAAAATATCAAAAAGGGTGTCCACAAAAAAATTGGATCCTTTTTTAGGTCTTGAATATGGGACTCAAACAAGAACCCGAAATTGGGACTTTAAAGACATAAAAAGACTCCAAAAACCCCCAACTTTGGTTTAAAAATGAATATGGTTCCTATTGTTGAATTATAAACTGCAGTGAAGAGAGGGGATGCAAACAACGGAACTAAAAAGCAAAATTAAATAATATCTACAAAAAAAAATAAAAGACGTCGCTACCGAAATATGATAAATTTTTTCAAATTCCAATCCAATACAAAATGTTGAAAATTGATTATTCAACACATTTACTTTCCTTTAACTATGCCAAATTTAGACCCTCAATAAAAATATATGCAAAAAACAATAGTTTTTTTTAGGATAAAAAATATTGCAAGCTTGTACTTTTTTTAAAAACGAAACAAAACTACTTGCTGCTTCAAAACTAAACTCTCAAAATGGCATCTACCTGCCTCCATATTAAAGAAAGAATATAAAGGAATTGATTCTTTGCCAAAAAAATTTTCTAATCCCTATATCTTTGCAACCTAATGGTTTAACCCTTTGATATTTCAAACTTAGATTATTTGCTCTAACAAAATTCATAATTTGAAATATCTAAGGTCGACTAGATTGGGTTGCAAAGATATAGTTTAGAAACATTTGAAAATCAGGCTTTGTGATTAAATTCTTTTTCAAAATGGTGTTTGTCTACCTGCTGCTTCAAAACTAGCGAGAAGAGAATATATTTTGCCAAGCTCTGAGGGTTGAACACACTTAGATAACATAGATCTAATTACAATCCCTGAAATAACAAGCTCTGAGGGTTGAACACACTTAGATAACATAGATCTAATTACAATCCCTGAAATAACAAGCTCTGAGGGTTGAACACACTTAGATAACATAGATCTAATTAAAATCCCTGAAATAACAAGCTCTGAGGGTTGAACACACTTAGATAACATAGATCCAATTACAATCCCTGAAATATCAAGCTCTGAGGGTTGAACACACTTAGATAACATGGATCTAATTACAATCCCTGAAATAACAAGCTCTGAGGGTTGAACACACTTAGATAACATAGATCTAATTACAATCCCTGAAATAAAAAGCTCTGAGGGTTGAAAACACTTAGATAACAAAGATCTAATTACAATCCCTGAAATAAAAAAATGATAAAAACTGCAATTTATCTCATTTTTTGGAAACTATTTAAATTTTTTTGTCTATTGCGATTGATTATTTTAAAAAATTTAATTAATAAATTTATTTATTATTATCAATAGAGATTTCAAGGTCCTCTTTAAGTCTAAGGTTAGGAGCGGGGGTCAATGAATTTATTTCTTTCCAGGGGGGGCGGCGGCTCTGCATTCATATAGACCTGAAAACCTTAGATTACCCTGCTCCAGTGGGGGCTGAGCTTCAATAACCCCCCTTGAATACGCCTCTGCCCACTACATCGCATATAAAAAAATACCTGACAAAGAACTGATACATCCAAGACAAGCTCCAAAAAACAAAACTGTTCCTAAAAAATGTCTTTGGTTTTAAATGAATATTCTATTTATACAATACATTTTTCTTAATAAATAAATCTAAATCAAAGTTCAAAATCAGGAACCCAATTAATGTTTTCATCCTTTTTGAAAAATGGAAAAGACAATCTAAATTTCAATCCAAAGTGTCATAATTCTAAAAATCGTTCTGTTATTAGATCAAAAATAATAATTTATGACATTCTCCGCATAAAGAAATACTTACCACTTGTAGCAAACGCAATAACAACTAAACTTGATATTTTAGACATCGTCGCCAAAATACCGATCATCGCATCATGGACCTGATCAAATTAAACATGTCTTTAAAGCATTTTAATTAAAAAAACGTTTAATTATTTGATCTGTTTAACTATTTAATATTTTCCCAAATTTAAACCTACAGGACAATTTCCTTTGAACATGATCAATATTACCAGACAATTTATTTGAAATTTTAAAAATAAATATTTTTACCTTAAGAATATAGCTAAGTAAAGGCATAACAATAAGTGAAGCGACAGCACTGAAACCTGAGCATCAAAAATGGTTAGTTTAATAGATTTGGATTGGACCCCTCCGGTAGCATGGGGAAAAGTTATTTACCCCCCCCCCCGGGCCCAAGAAGAGTTAAAAAAGAAAAAATATACTTACAAATAACTAAAGTTTGGAATTTTGTAAACGCTTGTTCCGTCCATTGGAATAATTTACCACCCCCCCCCCGGCCCAAGAAGAGTTAAAAAAAGAAAAAATATACTTACAAATAACTAAAGTTTGGAATTTTGTAAACTCTTGTTCCGTCCATTGGAATAATTTTCTTGTATATAGGTAGAATATATTTCCATCGCCTACAATACAAAACATACTTCAGGAAAAGTAAAAAGATCGAAACCTTTTCCAGTCCTTCTTCTTCAGTCCTTTCACACTTTTTCACTCAACTTTTCCTGTCTGTTTTCATGTCCTCAGGTGTCAGATTGCACCAAATTATGAATGGGGAAACTTCATTGCCTGGTTAAAAGCTTTTAAATTGAGTAGGGTTGACTTTTTTGGCGAAAGTTTAGTGTTTAGACTTTAGTACTCTTTATTCTTATAATAATTCTATTTTAATTATTTAATTATTATTTTAATAATTCTTTTTCAAAATAATTTTTAATAATTTTTACTTTAGATATACACCTTAGGTATATAAGGTAAAAACTTTTAAATCATTTTACTGATTGATTTGGAAAAAAGTATTTATGAAGGCTAAAATAATTATTATATATATTTTTTAATATGGGCTTCAATTAAAATTAGTATTTCGCAATGAAATTGTTAAAAAGACTACAAGTGTAATTTTATTACCTTAATGCCCGATTGACAACGGTACCCTTAAAAGCTTTGTCAGATCAAGTATGCACATTAACTAAGAGACCAATACATATAATTTTGAAAACTGTTTAATTCAATTTTATTTCTCTATAAAGTGAGTTGCGTATTTCAGCTGCAGGGAAACATAGAAAAAGGAATTTTTGATGTTACTGATGATGGTTTAATGGTTGTTAATCGAGCATTGGCATCATTGCATGGAGGGTTACTAAACATTACGCTTATAGTTTCTTTAAGGGGGTTGTTTAACTATTTCAAAATTAGAAAATACACTTAATAGGCTTCCTATTTAAAGCTCAAAAACGTTAAGGATGAGTAAAAAAGGGGATAATCTATGTTTTGGACAAAATTTTTTTAAAATTTTAGTGAAATTCAGATTTTAGGCAGAAAAACTAAATGTGATAAAAAACTTTAAATATTTTTTTGGAACGTTGAAACAAAAATCCGCAAAACAACATTATAAAAAAGAGTTTTTTTTTGTAAAATTGGTTGATAACATTAATGCAAATTTCCACTTAAATTTTTGCGGATTTTTTTATATTATCTATTTTTATTTTTAATGAAATTTTATGAAATTTGTGAAAACAAGAGTAAACATTTATACTTACTAAAAACCGTGACATTAAAGAGCATACAGGTTATGAGAATGATGATGACGCGACGGAACTTATATTGACGCTTCCTGAGCGTCAATAATCATCAAATCTTATTAATTTCGTCTTTAACCTACGCGGCATTCAATCGTGATTTAATGATTTACTAGTTTAATCAAATCATTGAAAAAACAATACTAAATATTTAAAAAGAGTGTTTTCATACGGCAATGCCCGATTCACAACGGTACCCTTAAAACCGTTGTCTTATCAAGTATGAAAAATCATATCGATTCTTTTCAGTCGTAGTTTCTCCACTACAGTGAATTGCGCATTTCTACTGCAGGAAAACATAATAGAATTATAAAAATAAATACGTTTCCAAGGGAAACGCGGTAAAAAAAAGTTTCCAAGGGAACCGCTGTAAACCGGGCATATCACCATTTTAGCATGAAACGTGTGAAATTACCCTTACAGTCCCTTTAAGCATGATTCAAAATAAAACAACTAAAGAATTTTTAATGGTTATTTCCTAAAGGTTGTTTGGAAGACATCTCGTACATGATGAAAATTGATGATAGCTAGGGGAGTCCTAAATGTACATTATTAATACACAAGTGATTCTCTATCTGTCTATTATCCCTTCCTAATAGCACGAATGCTACCCAGGACCCAGATACCCAACCAATCCTATGTCTCCTGAGGTCGAATTTTAAGAATTTGAGCCGCGACTTACATTTGAGACGTGGCTCAAATATGGTTGGTTCCACTTAAAATTGTATTCAATGTTTCAAGATCTAAGCCGGCGCTCAATTGAAACCAGTTTTTGGCGGATTTGAGAGGCGGCTCAAATTCATTAAATTCGGACTCTGGACAGGGATCCCATAGTTAGCATGCCATGTGCAATTATACTGTTATACACGAGTAAGGAAGTATAAGTAGTTAAACCCGTAAACTGTATCTGCACTGCAGCAAGAATTGATTTAGTATAACCTTGCTCATTTCTACTTATTAACTTTTGGACGTGAATCCGATGTTCCATTAGATTAACCCTTTAATTATATGTTACCCATCAACATAACACAAAGGGTGAATAATTTCATTATTACAATAACAAATCAAAATGTAAGTATTTTGGTCTATTTATGTATTTGCTACTCTGTCCGACTGTTTATGTATCCAATAAATGACAACACGGGTGAACCGAACTGGCCCATATTTTTGTTGGACCCCAGGGAAGGGTTATGGATGGTTTTAAGTAAAATATGAAGAATTTCTGAATTTCTAGAAATTTATCAATGTTTACCAAAACACCGCAAAATTTTGAGTTCTAGATTATGAAGAAAAAATGGCCGATTGAAAAACAACCTTTTGACGCTTAAATTGAGATGTACAAAGCACCCTGAGAGGCGTGTTATTTCAAACAAATATTTTCAAAATGTAAAATAATGATTTCAAATATAACAAACCTTTCTCCGATCCCTGTAATATCATTATCTTGATATATTCTTGTCTCTTCTATAAAAAACGTCACATAGAGAGCACTTATCACTTGACAAACTAAAAAGAGTTAAAAAAACAAATGAAAAATAACTTAAAATAAATAAAAAAGCATGAACAGGGAAAAAAACGTGAACAAAAGTTTTCAGAAAAATTCGTACATTTTAATCACCTTGCATCAATAATTGGAGATATAATCAAAATGAACTGAAAAAAGGTGAACTAAGTAAGAAATAACAATTAAGTTGAAGTTGAAGTAAAATTTAAAGATTATAAAATACCAAATTATATACAATAAATAAAATATCATTAATAATAATCATATACCTGCAACAGATCCAAAAATTCCATAATATCCAAAATATTTGAAGACATAACCAGACGCAAAAGTTCCTGAACAAATAAAATACACAGGACCTAACAACAATTATGATTTAAAAAAGTAAAAAAAAACGAAAAAAAAACCTGCGGGGACACCTCCAAAGAAACAAAAGTCTAGAGCTGCAAGCCGCGATGTTCTCTCCCTAAATAGATTATAAAACTATATATATAAAATAAAAGAACTATATATATATATGTATATATATATATATAACTATCACGTGGTGTGAGTGGAAAAGTCTCATAATAAAATTTTCCCAAATCTTAGAAAGTCATTCTTTAAACTGCTTGATAATTCTGCAACTACGAAACTTAATCTAAAATGACGCGACCCGTCTAGCCAAATATGGTTGCGATAGTAAATTCTAACCTTATTGTTGTGACGTCACTGAGGTATGAGAAAACACCAACTAGTAAACAAACATATCCACCAAACAAGCTACTCACACTTGTAAACAGTAGGAACATGGCCGAGGAGTCCTAGAATAAAGTTTATTAAAAAAAACTGTTGCATCATCATCTTCCCCACCATAAAATCAAATCAAATCAGACTTTAAGGAACGCCCTTCGAGTTTGAACTACTTGCAAATCACATAATGAGTTAACTCACCAGTCACCAGTCACCCAGAACTTAAATAAAATTTTGCATAAGGTTTTCATGAGCTTATTTTTGTATTTTGATTTAAATTTAGAATTAACTCTAAGACCCTGAAATAATATCAAGATGATGTATTTCTTAAAAAAAAGTTGGTTTTGGTTTGCAACAAATTTCATTGAATCCCTCTAATTAAAAAAAGTATTTTATGTTAAAACCGGCGCTTAACAAAGGAATATCATTTACTCTCTAGAGTTTATCATTAAATCCCTCGAGAGTTTGAATTTTCATTAGTTCAAATTTTTCCAATGTTAAATAATACAACTGTTTTCCTGTTTTGGGGCGATTTTTATCAGTTTTTAGCTTACAACCCAATATGCTTTGATAGTAATAATAAATATTGTTCAAGATGAGTGAAGAAACTATACTATAGTAAGAATATGAACCCCTTCTATCTCTAACCGAGGGGTTTATATTTGCTTGAAGAGCAAAAACTATTTAATGGTTTTTATGTAAAGCCAGATATCCCAGCATAGGAATATATCCACTCACCTTATAGTAAGCATAAAATATCCAGACTACTTGTGAAGCCAGATATCCCAGCATAGGAATATCTACTCACCTTATAGTAAGCATTAAATATCCAGACTACTTTTGAAGCCAGATATCCCGGCATAGGAATATATCCACTCACCTTATAGTAAGCATTAAATATCCAGACTACTTGTGAAGCCAGATATCCCAGCATAGGAATGATTATCACTGGTTTCCGTCCATTCAAATCTGACCAGGGACCAACAAACAGCGCCAAAACAATACTGAAACAAATAAAATTATTTTAAAACAATCAATTAAAAATCATTGTATTTAATTACTAAATAAAATATAAATTGATAAAATGTTTCCCACTATGTTCAAAATAAAGTAACCTGGGAATAGCTGAGAGGATGTTTATATACATCTGAACTAAGTTTGCCCTCCTTTCCACCTGAAAACAAACAAAAAAACTTTTTTCCACTCCGAATTAGTCTTTTTAAAAAAACATATCACCCTTTAACCTTCATTGATCAATAACTGAATCTTTCTAGTTTCATCTGTGTTTAATTTAAACTCAGCATGCTGGTATACCTACCTTTTCTTCTAAGTATGCTGGTATACCTACCTTTTCTTCTCAGTATGCTGGTTAACCTTACTATTCCCCTCAGCATGCTGGTTAACCTAAATATTCTCCTCTACAAGCTGGTATACCTACATATTCTCTAGAGCATGCTGTTATACCTGACTATTCTCTTCAGCATGCTGGTTAACATGACTATTCTCCTCAGCATGCTGGTTTACCTAAATATTCTCCTCTACAAGCTGGTATACCTACATATTCTCTTCAGCATGCTGTTATACCTGACTATTCTCTACAGCATGCTGTTATACCTGACTATTCTCTTCAGCATGCTGGTTAACCTGACTATTCTCCTCAGCATGCTGGTTTACCTGAATATTCTCCTCAACAAGCTGGTATACCTACATATTCTCTTCAGCATGCTGTTATACCTGACTATTCTCTTCAGCGTGCTAGTTTACCTGACAATTCTCCTCAGCGTGCTAGTATACCTGACTATTCTCCTCAGCATGCTGGTTAATATTAGCACATACATTCTCCGAATATTCAAGATCCCTAAAATTTCAAAGTTATTCAACAGGGTTTATAACAAACTGTTCATGAATTTATAAAAAGTACACAGTGCATTTTTGATAAAAAATTAAAGAATTCAAGAGTTGCCTTAAATTTTCAGCTGCACCTATTTTCTTTTTCAGAACACTAAAAATATCAAATACAAATGTCCAATGTAGGAGTGCAAACACAAATTATTTCTTGTTGGCAACAATTTTGTCACGTTTAATTCTTTAGAAATACAATGATAGATTTTTTCCCTCAGTAGATGATGTCAAAGGCTTAGTTATGAACCTATATAAGATTTTTAGCAATCATAATGAAAAAATTAGAAATTAAAATGGTCGGTTTAAAATCATTTCGTTCGAAACTTTTGAAATTCTTTGCTGTCAATTCGGATCAAACAATATGTTGATAATTATAGGAAGAAATACATTTTTTTAGTAGTTTTCAAGGGAGGGTAAAAAATTGCCAGTTTAAGTCAATTTATTCTTTTTTGCCGAAACTTTAAAAACAAAAACCCCAGTTAAGTTTCTAGATCACTCCCTTTAATTTAACTATTGTTTAGAGTGGTCTACCTGCAGGATTTATCAATGAGAAGGTTTTGTCCTATAACCATGCCAAGTCCAAGGGAGAAGGTTTGGAGAAGGATTGCTGGCTCCAGGGTTATCAGAGACACACATCTAGAACAAGACAGTTTTAAAGGGACTGTTTACAAAATTTCTAGTATCCCTCGAACTCAAGAGTTACCTTTACGACTCTAAAAATACTCTTTAAATGTTTATCCAAGTAACTGTAATGAAGATAACGTCGTTCTTCTTTTTAAAAGAAGAAGACAAATTCTGTCAAGGCCCTTCCTTGTCTCTGCTTTATAAAGAAACAGAAACCGCAGTTAAAAAATGTAAAACTTTACAATGAATTAATATTTTGGATTAGCTTTTAAATAAAAGTAAACTAAAGTTTTTTTTCACTTTAAAAATCTAAATTCCACAACATTCCTCAGATACGTATTTAAAATTCAGGTGGATCAAATAAATTCATGTCTCAAAGATCAGATTTTCGCATTTATCAAATTTTATAAAATAGTTGATCATATTTTTTTGAGACAAGTAAAAAATCGGGTTCTGAAATGGGTCGAATTGACTCAGAACACGAAAAAGAAGTTTACCGTAGTGCTCTTTGAAGAAGAGGGGTTGGATTTGACATTTTGAACTCAAGATCACATTTTTCTTAAACAAAACTCAATTTCTCCATTTCTTTTACTTTTTCAATCTTCTTTCTTCTTGAAAATAAAACTTTTTTAATCTTCCTTTTTATACAAAAACTCTTTCATATGTAATTGCTGAAAGTTTATTTTTATAAATTTTAAAATCTACCAAATTATTTATACTTCCCATTTGCTGTTCTTTCCTTAAAACAATCAGTTCAGTTTATTTATTTATTTAGAATTCACCCCGTCTGAATATCAAAAGTGAACTAACCACCGTCTCTAGTAATTTATTTAAACTTTAAGTTAAAATTTGATAAAATGAGTTTAATTTGATAATTTGATATCAGTATTTTGATAATATTTGAATTATAAAAGTTAAAATTATGGACATTATTTATTAACACTTAGATCTATATTCAAATTTTAATTTTTGTTAACTTGTTGGAACTCTCCTCTCCCTTAAATAGTGTCATTAACCATTAACAAAGATGCTTTTTTCCACTTTTAATATTTTTGTATTTATGAAGTAGGGAGCCGAAGAAGACTTTAAGAATCAAGCAATCAGCATGAAACACAGAAATTGTGCAGTTTAATTAAAATAGTGATCAAATAAGAGTCCAGTAAATCTATTTGCATCATAAAAGCATCTATTATGTCGTCTTCCTATTCCATTGTTTTGGTATTTAAGCTGAAAAAATATGTCAACTTTTTTGGTCAAATTTTACTGAACTTTCTTTTTATATAGAACTTATTTAATGGAGCTCAACCTTTAATATATTATCAATTTAAAAGGTTTTTCAGAAAGTTGTTTTTGCTATAGGCAAGCCTTTCAGGTAGTTAATGTGAATTAAGTATAAAAATATAAAATATCATGGCTTTCAAAAAGTTAAAGAGCCGTCTCTAATTTATTATCTTGGGTTAGTAAATGTTGCAATTGCAGTAGTAATAATAAAAAGTATCGAAAAAGTATAATTCTTATTGGACGGAAATAAAAAAATAAAAATCGTTTGAAAAAAAATCCTAATTCTTTCCAGAAAATCAATACGCATATTTCTCTATGCATCATGAAGTGGTTATTAATTTCACAACATTAGAACACTTGTGAACATTTAGTCTTAAACAATGCAGCAATATACATTTCTTTTTAGCATAACAAATTTACATGATGAAAGAAAACATTATATTGGAGGCCCTTATACTTCTTCAAGACTCCCCTCCCCCCCCCCC